TTTTGATTTGATCTTATGGGTCATTTCTCAGCTAGAGAGGAGATATTCACTTACATTGTACTTATGAGTTTTGAATCCATTGTTTATTTTACATTGCATAGGGTTTGGCCAAAAACGGTAATTCACTCCTCTTGTCCCATAACTGGGACTAAAGAAGATTTCTACGTTACTTTACTGTGTTTTTTACTTAACAAAATCTGTTTTTATACATCCTGTTCTATCCATTGCACTGTATATTCCTGCACCTATTCCATGTTGAGCTAAATGAAACCCAATAATGTGTCTAAATATCCATTTACTTCATCCTACCACTCCCATTACTCCACTTAAATCTTCTCCTGGATATCCTTGTACAAGTATTACTTTTATTTTTAAACAAACAAAAATGCCAACAAAAAATTATTGTTCAGCCATATGAATGGATAAAATATTATTGCATTCTACACAATCTTTTTCTTTTAAACATAGGTTTTAAGTGTCTTTTTTTTTTTTTCATTTTATTTCAAAAGGGGGAGAGAGAGAGAGAATCCTCCACCCACTGGTTCACTCTCAGGAGGAGTCTCACAGCAGGAGTCAGCGGCTACACCCAGGGCTTCTAATGGGCAGGAGAGACACAAGGGCTTGAGCCCTTCCCTGCTGCCTCTCCACGCAGGAGACAGCAGGAAGCCAACGGCAGGTGGGCAGAGCGAGGACACTGCCATGAACTCCACATGGGATGCTGATGTCCCAAGCACCGTGTTCATCTCAGACAGCTGCTTTTCCATCCTTAATTCCATAGTTCCCGAGAAGGGTCCAAATCCGTGGCCTCTGCACTCTGAAGATGCCCAGCCCCTCAGGCTTCCACTACGTTTCCCATTGTCCCTGTCTCGGGGGACTGCGTCCCTGGGGGAGGGTGACAGAAGGCAGCCAGGAAGGGCAGTGCTGCGTTCTTAGTTCCATTTTGCTCTCAGGATCAAACTTAACTGTCACTAGTATCTCCTGAATTACCTCTGAAAAATGTATCTTTTATGGGAAAATACTAATTATTTCTAAAAACCCAGCTAGTTTAGTCTCATAGAGAAGGGTATACTCCTATCTTGAGACTTATCAAACAATCAAGCAAAAGAAAAAAAAATCCACAAACTGGCCTAATTATTAAAAAGCTAAGAAAAAAAACACAAAAAACCCTCTATCTATATAGAAAATAAAAGGAAGACAGGATTAAAACAAGTTCAAACACACCCAAGTTACCATATGTAATATTAAACTGATAATATAAGTTTTTAACATAAACATGTAATATTAAAGATACCTTAAATTTTAAAATGAGAGAGAAATACACTAAATTCTGGCTTTTTCTATGATTCTTAGCTATTTTACCTTCAACATGAAGAGACTCTGACGCCTGTCAGGTTGTGGTGCTGACTGCAGTGTTACACTGCATCCTCTGGACATCAGGGGTTTCTCTCCTCAGATTGTTTATAATTCTTAATTCAAACACGAGTATTTACCTAGCAACTTTTACACCTTAAAGCAATATTCCTCACACGTAAGGCAGATTTGGGTATTTCCATACCGGCGTATGTAAGTCCTGGTTCTGCAGCAGTGACACTAAAACAGCTGCAGTACTGTGTCTCATTTCTGCCATCAGTGTAAATCCAAAGGAAAAAAAAAAGTAAAATGAATAGTGTCACTCAATTCTTGTGTGATCCAAAATTAGAAAAGCTTTTCTAGAATTCAGCCTTCAACTCCGCAGTTTTGGGAACGAAGTTTAGGCTACCCCCCCCCCTTTTTTGTTTTTGTTACAGGAAATCAATTTTACTACAAGCAAATAAGCCACAACATACCTTGTCAAATGTTTCCCTGAATGACAACTGCCCTAGGGATGAGCAATTAAAGTCACATAATTATGCAACAATGTTTGTATATTTTGCAGAGAAGTAGAGTGGAAAGATGGATTAACATAAAACTTTAGGATTTTCTCAGTTATGTCAATAAAACATTTCCTTCTAATGAACCTAACATGGGCATGTTTTTGAGTCACTTGCTCTACAGAATTCTTACTAAAAACACATAGTGAAGGAGACAGTTGGCTAGGGAGACAATGAATCAACTGCCTTCAATATTGCTTACAGGCCGAGCAGAGGGACGATGGTGGATTTAGCATTATGTAGGTTCTTGACTAGAACTGCTTAGGTATGTAAGAATGTAAATGAGGCAGGAGTTTTGGGAGCACAAGGGACAAAGAACAACTTTACTTTTAAGAGAAATAGCCCTGAACTTCTTAACCGAACAGGCAAGGCTTCTCCTAGCACCTTACAACACCCATTAGACATGTCATCTTTCCTTTAGATTTGTAATCTGACTGAAGGAATGGATGTTATGACAGAGTAACAGGAGCAGGTGATTAATGGTGAAATAGTTTGAAAAGATCATTAAAATATTTGGTTTTACAGAGAAGGTGAAGTTAAAATTCTCCTTTAAAGAAGATTTAGGCAGATAAAAAGACAGGTGAAAAAGAAGCAAGACAACAGAACAATATACATTTGGGAGGTGGGATTCCTACTTCAAAGAGGTGGGTGAAAATGTTTGAACATCAGTAAAAAAACCTGAGCTTAATATTCTGTCCCTGGAGAACAAAATAGCTAAATTATCTGTGATAAACCCAGAATGAAAAAAAAAATTGTTATTACTTTAATGAGAACAAAATTTTTAATATTTTTTATTATTAGAAAACTCCCTCAAATATGTTTTTAATAAGGACTATCAGATACCAATGAAATAAAAGCTAATACAACTCTAAGTGAATTTTTTAAAATGATAATTTTTAAGCATAAAAATTTTATCTCATACTTGATAGAAATAAAGCTAGGTAGGCACAATGTTCATTTTAAAATGTTGGTCAGGCCCTGCACAATGACTCTGTGCTTAAATCCTCACTTTGAACATGCTGGGATCCCATAGGGGCACAGATTCATACCCAGTGTCCCACTTCCCAGCCAGCTCCCTGCCTGTGGTCTGGGAAAACAGCAGAGGACGGCCCAAAGCCTTGGGACCCTGCACCTGTGTGGGAGACCCAAAAGAAACCCCTGGCTTCTGGCTTTGGCTGGACTCAGCTCTATTGCAATCACTTGGGGAGTGAACCAGCCAATGACTGGTCTTTGTCTCTCCCTCTCTCTGTAAATCTGCCTTTCTAACAAATAAATCTTTTTAAAAAAATGTTGGTCTACCCTATTTTAATGCTCTAGAATGGTATTCCAAAACATGTTACAAATTTTAAAGAATTTTCATAGAATTATTTCTTACCAATCTTTAAAGCATGTTATAGTACATTATATTCTTTTTTAGATTAAATGGTTATTTTTATGGATTTAAAGGTGCTCTTAAAAAATAAGAGCCTTTAAAAAAAAGTGTCTTAAGTTTTCATCAATCTTCAAATCACCCCAGTTGTGACCTAACTTAATATTTAGAATTTTAACTATACAAGTTGCATTTGCTTCTCAACACACAAATTATTAAGTTAACCATGCATAAAACCATCATTGTTGTAGGCCAAAAGCATAGCATACTAGCAATTTAATACTGTTCAATATTAAAAAAACAAAACAAACAAAAAAACCCCAAAAAAGGAACATCTGGTTTTCCCGAGATTTGCTAGGCTGGGGAAAGACCCAATTTGGAGAATTCCGAGAAACCGCAGACTTTTTCTGCTGCGCTTCCTTTCATGTATCAGTGGCCATTACAGGAAGCAACTGCCCTAGGTCATTTCTCTATTTATTTATCCTTATGGTTTACAATCTAGTGAAAAATAATTTTGGATATGCTTGTAATCACTAAAGTTAATCTTATACCAAACTACAACAGCTTTCTGTAGCATTTGTGGGGAAAAACTACCCATTTTTACCATTTTAATTGAAAACACCCTAAGACAGAATAGTGGGTGACACTGTTATAAAGTACCAGCACCTACAGGGAACAACATGGCGCCGTTCTAAGCACACTAATGGCTTTGGGTGCAGGCTGTTTTTAACGCTTCCATTGGCTAGCCACAAAAACAGGATGGTTTCAAGAAAACAGGGGCTGCTGAGGGTGGAACTGAGTCAAATAAGCATCTTTTTGGAGCCAGACAGGAGATATGTGAATGTGATTTCTATTACAGAAAACCTAACCTTTGTGGATTTATCCCAGTAGACAGTATGTGAGAAAATGCCCAGAGCAATACTCCTACCACGTGTATCGGGCAACTTTCCTAATAACCTCCTATACATAAATATATCCAATAAGCACACTGAAAATATCATGCATTTAAAATATCACATTTTGACTATATTACTTATTATGAAATTCTATGTTAAAAAGCCAAGCTGCTTATTAAAAAGTAAAATACGATAAAGAAAAAGAAACAAGGATTGCCAGATAAATTTTAGGCCTGAGTCCAACGAGGAGAGAAAAGCCTGTTTTTAGCCAGTGTCGTCATTGGAAGACATAAATGCTCCCAAAATTTGAAAGATTGGTTGTCTTTCTTTTTCAATTGTTTTATCAGGAAGAACCTTTTTCAAGTGATAAGACTTACAAGCTAAATTAAAATGCACTTTAGTCATTGGCAAGCTACATGAGCAAGAATAATGTGACCACAGGACTTGGAAGTTTTTGATTTATAACTACACCATTCTCCACTCACAAGGCTGTAGTCTAGGAGGCAGAGCAATGAATCATCACAATTGTCTATCTGGAAAATGTCACAAGACTAAGGGCACAAGAAGGGAAAAAGGGAAAACACACACTTCTGTATAAGAAACATCCTTCAATTACGGGGAACAGATCGTTGGCACACAGAAGTAACTACATTCTGAAAATCTTCATGTAAAATTATTAATAAACCACGATGAGTAAAACTTCCCTGTTAACCAAACTAACCCTTATTCAACTACCACCTAGAAAGCTACGTCTCAACACTGAGTTTGAAAAAGCAAATTTAAGTCAAAATGAGATAGAAATTTGAACCAATCAATGGATCCAGATTTTTTTTAAAAGAACACATATGGTTTAATTGACACTTTGCCAATACAAAAATAAGCATCCACAGAACATTTATTTACTTTTTAAATTACTCCATATTTTCACATACTGAACAGAAAATATATTTTAACCCACACATCATAAAAGCAAGTAAGTGCAATCTTTCAAACATTAAAAATCATAATCAGATATGTACAACAGATAAATAAATGTATACCTTTAACAGCTGGCTTGTAAAAACAAAACAAAACAAAAACATTTACTGCCCAAAGTCATCAATTTACTTAAAATTCTAAGTATGGTCACAGAACTGATTCATAACAATGTGGATCTTTACTACACTGAGTAAGTTTAGGTTCATAAATACATATATTTTTTAAAATAGGAGGGAGAATGATAAGAAATACCAAAATGGCCATAAAGAGCTTTCCAAACATTGGAAATAATATACAAATTAAAGCGGGTAAAGCACATGAAATGGATCCACAGGGTATCCGATAGTACACCGGTATAGCTCCAAAAAGGGAACAAAGTAAATGTTTGAGCGAGAAAGAAAATTTGGCCTTTTCATACAAAGAAGCAGCGACAACATCAACAATGACAAAACCCTGTGATGGAGCCCCAGAACAGCTCTGTGAGACAAAGTGGACAAGGATTAGGCTTGCATCACTGAGAACCACACGAAGGAAAACGTGGCAGAAAGCAGAGTATCAGACATGAACACCCATGAATAAAACGCATACCGCTTAGCATTCCACACCACTGCGCGTAGGACAGGCAGACAATACTACAGTCATTTCTGGGTAACAAAGTTTCCAACGATGCAGGATGTCCCATGATGAAATAGCGATGAAGACAGTCTCATTGCCACAAGTTTAGGAAGTGTCAAAAACACTTGGTGGTGTTGCCTAGGCTAATTAAATCATCTGCACTTTTTACTGGAAAGGTAATCATTTCCCTGCCTTCATATGGTAACTTAAAATCATTTACAAATGGAAATATTGATCCAGTAGAAAACATTTTTCACATGCAGTTCTTTATGATGTGTTCCGGTTCACGTCTTTTTTCCCCCGTAGTTCACGAGGATATATACAAGTCCAGTATATACGACCACGTAGGCGACAGTGTCACCAAACTGGCCTGCTGCTACATGTTTGTTTACACATTCAGAGAGATGCTCTGCTCCTCTATGTGGATTCCATGTAAGCCTGAAGAATTTATTTTTTCGGAATTTAATGTCTTGATTTATCTTGAATGGATGATAAGATGAGGAGTCCACAAAAAAATGCAGCTATACAAGCCAATCTTTTCAAGAGAGATGCATTATCTTTAGGAATAACAATTTGTGCAAGATCATTTGTAATCTGAGAAATTTCATGTGCCACACAGACAAATATAAAAGTGCTGACAATGATGTTGAGCACAGGGTTCCCAGGTATGAGCACCAGGATACCCTTGGTGTCCGCAGCCAGCCATATGTGATACTGGCAGATAAACAGCTAGGAGAAAAAGATACTGGAAGTTAGATACGTAGACAGGGTACATATGAACAAATCAGCTTTCCTGAATTTAATGGATGGCATAATAGTGTTGGAAAGCTTCTCCAGAATCATTGGATCCCATCTCACTACTACCGCGAGAAGGCCACTGCACAGCCCATGTCTGCCTCCACACAGTCTGTTATTACTGAAGAAAATAATAGACTGTTTACTCAAGAGCTCAAAGAAAATGTTTTTATTTTTCCTATCTTAAAAGGCAATTTAATAAATTATATACCATTCATGTTCACAATATTAATTCTAAGATATTTTACTTCAAATAACAGAGCTTATGCTAATCAGTATATATTCCCAAACCTATTATTTAAACTGGTTTTGTGTTTAAATTAGTACTACTTTACACAGAAAATGTTCTTATAATATCCAGACATAATAAGGCGAATTTGACTGTTGTAAGCATCAATAAAATACATTCTAGTAAGATATTTATTACAGAGGTAGATACTGAATAAATTTCCAGCTCCATTTAATCAAATTGTGGTCTCATATCTTTGTTTCATGATGCTGGCAGCTTGGCTGTGGCTGTGCTAAAATACTTAATACAACATGAGAATATTTTGAAAGTCATCTACATTTAGTCACTTTACAGGTTTTAAGAACATTCTAAGCAACTTTACTGATAAGAAACCCTAAGTCTTGTCCCCTGTAAAATCATAAAAAGGAGCTTTGATTTAAATTGGAAGTATGTCAGAGTCTCTCTGTTTCTCTCTCTCACACACACATTTTTTCATATGTAAACACATACATATATATAAATACATCCAGGAATATATACAGGACACAAGACTATAAAAAATAAAGCAAAAGTAAAATATTAATGTACCAACCTCTAATGAAATTCTCCCAAACCAAGCAAAAAATGAACTGTAAACTGAACGGGCATATCCAGGGATATTTCTTATGAGGATGAAGGCTAAAATCTAAAGAAAACCACACAGGCAAACATTAACAATCTGTTTATTAAAATGCATTTTGCATGAAGCCTTCCTTAAGGTAATGACACTATCTTTATGTCCTTGCACTTGACACGTATACAATGGTTTTATAAAACAGTTTTACCAAGTTATTTTAGTCCTTAAAATTAATCAAACTGAGTCTGTCAAACTGTGCTGCTTATCAACCTAACGCAGGCTGAGCTTTTACCTGTTTTATTTTAGACTTGCTGGGGACACAGAAACCTTCCCAAGGCCCTTAGTGTTAGAAAAGCTGACATACAAAAAAGCGGAATGAACTGCCATGATAGAACAGTGTCCCTTCTATAAAGTACATGGCAACTGTTAAGTTCATGGAAAAAATGTACATTATGAAAAACCCATGCAAAGATCTGAAGCTTTTATTTTTCAAAAAATGCTCATCCTTGAAATTAGCTCTCCCATGAACTTTCTGCAGTGCCCGAAGATCCACCTGGTTGGCAACATCCTCTTATGCCAGTCTGCAGAATCCTTCTTCACTGATGGCCACGTCAGTGGACAGCGCATCAGGTCAGGAAGGCCTTCCTGTCCGTGCTGCATGGCCTGCTAAATGGAATCTTGCCCCAAGTTTCCAGGTAGTCCAGTTTCTCTCTGCATGCCTCTGTCCACCCAAACAATCTTCAGGTTTGGGGCTCAGTGGCTCACCTCTCCCCTTTTCCTTTCCTTTTAGGTAAAGCAATTTTGCATTTTTCAGTACTTCAATTTATAGTCTCATATTAAGTAACCAGTTTAGGAAGAAAACATTCATCAACAGAAGAATGCACTTACCACTTGGCAGGCAAGTGGTAGGCATGATAACCAGTGAGAAAAAAACTTAAGTGATAGAAAAGCAACTATGAGAAATTTAATCAGTATTTTCCAGGTGAACATTAAATGGCAGAAACTGAGCTAGGTCATCTCTATGTATGTGACATAGAGATTTTGATAATCTTACTGCCTCAGAAGAAGGCAGGCTGCAGGAAAATGAAGTAACATTTCCTGGAGTGTGAATTCTCTCTGCCTCTAATGACAATGCTCTCGCCAAGAGCTAAGCAGGACAATGTCTCCAGGTCGAGATAATTACCTGTACCACAGAAACAGACGGGTGCAGCTCATTGCAGTCTGCTTTGTTTTTACAACTGCTGGCCCAGATGGAGTAGGTCTAAAACCAAAACAGACAGATCAGCTCCCGGACCCAGGGGAGTGGGGAAGAGCATAATTCCCGCTGTTTTCTCGTAGCTTCTTTGTGGATAACCTGTGCTTCACTGTACCATAAAAAAGCATTGGCAAAAACGGTCCAAAGGTTTGCTGATCCCTGGAATAGAATTCACACAACTGCGCAAACAGAGGAGAGTGGAGAGGAGGACAAGTCTGTGATTTTCTGGAAACACTAGCCACAAGGCAGTGACGGCTCTTTATGTACGACACCAGACATTGCACTTATTCCAATATATGTGTGTGTGTGCATGCGTGTATGTGTGCAGAGAGAAAAAGAGTGAGTAAGCACACCCAAGCCATCTCTTACGCATTAGTCTGATCTACCAAACACCCACACTAGCTGCAGTCGGTCGGCCTGGCTAAAGCCAGCAGGTGGGAGCTCAGCCTGGGTCTCCCACCCGGCTGGCAGGGATGCACCGAGCCATCTCAGCTGCCTCCCGTGGTACAGCTCAGCAGGAAGGGAGAACTGGGAGAAGAGCAAGGCTGGGAACCCTGAAAGGCACGCAGAGTCCTCAATGCTGGCCAAACACCCACTCCTACAACTTTCAATATTCCTTCTTCACTGAGTTCTAAGTTATTCCTATTTTAATTTTATATGTATTTCTTTAAGTTATGTCTAATTTAAAAATAAGAGGGTAAAATAAACATTAAAGATTTATTAAAAAAATAACTGGTTCTCCCACATCTTAATTTTCTATTCCACTTAGTAATTTTCACAAATTAGATTACAATTTAAAACTTACCAGGAAAGAAACTACTGAGATAAACAACAGAAAATTTGACATTCTGTTTGAAAACAGAGGTTCACCCTTTCCTTCAGAAAGAACTTGACGCTTCTGCAAAGCCAAATAAATGAAAGCAAACAGCATCCCATGGAAGACAACCTGCAGAAACAGAAATACTCCATGTACAACAGCTGCTTTGCTGATGAAGTAAGGCGTGCAAGCAGGTGGGTTAGAAGCCTGAAGCTCTGCATTTTTCAGCAGCACTGAAATTTCAATCTTTGCAGTAACTGAAGTCATAAGGACAATTCAAAACTGATAGCACAAAGACTCATAAAAATAGATGATAAAGTTTCAATGCACCCAACAAAGAAAAACATAATTTATACTGGTCCTTTCGGTCAGATAAAACAAATAATAACAACAGCAAGTCATAGTTGTATAACTATGCATGTATACATGTAAAAGAGGGGAAAATATTAGTGGGCCAGAAGGCACAAGCACTTTCTTCTTTAAAGACTTAATTATTGTAATAGACTGCATGTTTGTATCGGCAGTAAGTACATGTCCTCGGTGTGACAGTTTCGGAGGTGACATCTCTGGGGTGAAAGCACTACAAAGTGCCCTTTCGAAGAGATTTTGGAGACAGTTCCCTCACTTCTTGCTTTCTGGGAGGAAACAGTGAAAAGTCAGCTGTCTGTGAGCCAGGAAGTAGGTGCCCATCAACACCTCATCTGTGGCCACTTCACCTGGGACCTTGGAGCCGCCAGAATGGGCAGAAAGACACTGTGGATCTTGAGGATTTTCTCAGCCCGGAGTATTCTGTCACAGCAGCCTAACAGACCATGGTAATTGTTACAGTACAATGCTCTACTGAAAATGTTGAGAATTTAAATCATTATATATGAAGACTTTAACAAATATTTTTGTTAGGATGTGGGTTTGGAAATATAATGTACTTTTGAAAGTGTACAAAATAGGCACTAAATTGTACACTAAATGCCTCACTTAGAATACCCGGTTGACAGGAAAAAGAGTTGTCAGAAATGGAAGGGAAAGGAGAGTGAAGTAAAATACTGAATATTTATTTAGTATGTATCATGTTCCAAGTGTTACGCTAGGTGTTTTACATTGTCTTAACTGAGTATTAATGCTGTTACCAGATTATATTAATGGGGTAACCCAAAACATTCCTCCTTCAAGTTCTCTCCCACAAAACTCAGGCTGCATAGTTTGGTACTCTGTTAGAAATCATGATGTTGGGTTTCAAACTAGATGATCACGCCTTATTAGAAGCCTAGTGGCATGTCTTCTATCATGCCACATAGGGCACATATTAAAGTCCAGTACTGACTGTTTGAACGGTTGATGTGAACATGTCATGGATTACTCAAAAACCAAAGTTACAACTCTGACAAATGCTACTTTGTCAACCTTTTCTACCATTTTTTTGTGGATATAAATGCACGTGTATACCATGGGATATCATTTTGGGAAAAGGGCGCTAGTGAACTTCTTCACTAACTAAAGCATGGTTATTTATCCTGAAGCAAAAGCAAAAAAAGTTCAAAATTTCAGGTCAGTTTCTAATGGTATAACTGGAAATGGCAAAATAGGACAGAGTAAATACATACGTAACGGTCTAACCTCCATCTGAACCACCATTCGTACACATTCCCTTGCAGCTCAAAGCACTTGGACAACGGCCAGAGAGAAAAGATCTTCTCAAATGCACCCTGAGAAAAGCAACCCGGGAAACATGAGATCAAGGTGATAGCAATGAACACGGTGCCATCTCTTCAAAGGTTAGGATTACAGAAGGTTCATCCACGCTTCAAAACTTCTATTCTATTTGGAAACAGAATTTCACTTAAAATTCATATGGAAGTTAATTTGCTTTGGCAAGCCTTACAGGTTTGTTTGTTTTTATGTTAAGGCTTTAAACTTATTTTTACTTCATACAAAATGCCAGAGATTCCTATTTTTAAAAATTTGCCAATGGAAAAATTGTTTTATTTAAGATAATCTAATATATAAAACAGCTAATATTTACTAATGAAATGAAAAAATATAAAATACTCAGCCAATATAGTATCAATTGCCCACAAAAGGAGTGCTACAGGTTTTTCTTTCTGCAATGCCATTGAGGATCTATTACTGCAATTAACTATTTGGGTTAAAAGGGCCTTCTGATTTAGCTGCCTTAATCGGTCATATCTAACTACCATTACTAGCATTTAAAACAAAATTTATATTTTTACTTGGATCAAGTTAGTGATGGTGTCCTTGAATCAAATGACAGCCTGGAAAATGGGCAAACGTCTTCGGTACACTCCTGCACATTAATGAAGTATTTCAAAGAAGAAAATAAAAAATCGTCATTTCCAGGGTAGAGGATGACAACAAACTCCATTAAAGAAAGCTCCATTATCACTACTGTCACATTAAAAAGTGACATCAATATTTTAAAGGATATGAGAAACAAGGAAAAATGTGAAAATAATGTTGTACTTTAGGTAATGCTGAATCATCGGTCAGAAGAACTTCACTATTTTCACAACAGACAATGGTCTTCATCTGATATTGTACACAGCATAGAAAAAATAGTTCAAAAATTCCAAAATCTATTCCTGATAAAATTAAGGAAATCTCTTACCAAGAGTTACAATTGAAACTACTTCAGGGTCACACACACTGATATGGATACAGAAAAAAAAAATGACAATATATCAATGATATAATCTTAAGGACCAGACATTACGTGGCATGCTTCTAACATGTATGCTTCTATGCTTCTATGCTTCTATGTATGCTTCTAACATTTCTAGTTCAGATGTATTTACGTGCTCAACATATGTTCAGTGCACACCCACTGAAAGTCAGGCCACTGCTGCTCAGTGTCAGTGCCTGCTTGATGGACAGCACCAGATTTAAGTGGGGCAACCTTTGTAGTTTCCCTACTGAACATTGGGTGAGCTTGCTATTTTTCTCTCTCAGAAGCAACCACAGAGTGGTGGGGATTTCAATGACTGACAAGTACTTGCTGCTATTACCTGACTATTTCTTTACACATTTTCTTCTGATTTTATTTATCCATGGAAATCTTGGGTTTCCAGCAGAAAAAAAAAATAATTCTAAATATGGAAACAAGTATACAAGCTCACCAAAGTCAAAACAAAACTTCAAAACTACCTAATGGGCTTGCACATGCACATAAAGTGCTTGCAGGGCTTTTACACCTAACACAATCAGGTTCAACAGAGTGCTGGCGACGCAGATAAGCTGCAGAGTGTGTCACCACAACAGGCATGCCAATTAAAATATTTTGTTATAAAAATCATGCTACCCAAGTGGCAAATCTGCCCGACATGCTTAACCAGCAAGTGGCAGATGGCTACCCACTCATTTAACTAAAAATCCCAATCAAATTAATCTCAGCAGAATTGGTAAATACAAGATTACATCAAGGAAAAACACAATGTTTATTAAACATATTACAGATACACAAAACTCTTTGCTCCTAAGTTGGTTTTATTAACTGCCCAAATTTTACTCCACACAGTTATAGAGAAACATAAAGTAATACTTTGATGCAATGAATAATGCACAAACAAAGCTGCAAGTTCTGTCAGGGGAATTTTGATCTCCACTTAGCGTAGTGTCTTATAAGAGGCATTCAATAAACTTTTGATTGATCAAAGTCAAGTAAAATGGATCTGGAACAATTGCCAGAGGAAGAGCCTTAAATTGCTCTTACAACAAAAACAGTGGTAACAGAAGCAGCTAGGCCTCAAAGAATTACACTGAGTAGTCAGCTGCAGAGTAACATTTTTATTATAGTCATTAAAAAATGAAGCTAACAACCAAAAAAAAAAAAAAAACTCTGACTCTTCTCACATACTGTACTAGACCTGAATTTTAAAATATTAAAAATACAAACAAAAACTATACCAACCTGAGAATATGCCAAAAAACAAATGCACAGCAGCAAAAAGGCCAATTTCAATAGCAAACCAAAATGCCACAAACAATTTCCTAGAAGAGAAAATGGTTTAATTTACTAAAAAAAATGTTTGTATTAGACAACAGATTAAATTTCTATTTTTCATATTTATGCCTTTTATTATTCTTAAAGTAATTTTAGGTCACAAATGAGACTACACAAAACACATCTGGAAAGCAAACGCTGAAAGTATCGCAGAAGGGAACGAAGGCTGGGCTCTCCTTGCTAGGGACAAGGCTTACTAGTCCACTAGGAATACAATGTAAAACACTGCCTGGACTCGGGTCTATCTATTCATTACTGAAAGCTATAACAAGATTTAGAACAATACTCTCAATAAATTTAACTGATTCATGCTAAGTATAACACTTCCTAAACATTAATATTCCAAGGACAGAGTGTAAACTTCTAGAATGATTAGGGTCTGACCGTAAGATACATTCTAACAGATACAGTCTATATTATATATTTGACAGATACACATGTTGTTTACTTGGTGGACATGCCAAGTATTTGTAAATTACAGAGGCTGTCCTAAGATCCTAGTGGACTTTATCATAGAAACAGGAAACTAAATCCTCCAGGAAAAACAACTTGATACAGCAATGGAAGAAATGGAAAAATAATGTTTGATATGTCATTTGGTTGAAAGAATCAAGTTTTTTTTTTTCCCCAAAAAACAGGAATAAGATTTTACTTTATGATATGATCTTAAGGGGAAAAAAGCATTAAGATAAATGACTGTGGCCTCACTTTGAGTAGTTTCAGTACTGGGATATGCAAAATAGAAAATAACCTTGTATACTTTTGTTGCCTTTTATATAAAACAGGCTGATAATAATTGCTTAGATAGTTGTCTAGAAGATAAACTATATTAGTGACTTTAAACTTTGTTGGACATAAGAGACCTTTTTGCAGATGAATGTTTAGTCATAGATAAGAAATATATACATATATATTCATATATTCAGCATACGTAAGACATCAAATCATGCAGATTTGCACAGTGAAGTGGGGTGCTGGGGTACGGAATTCCACTTGGCACTCCCAGCTGTCTTACAGTCACCTCTACTCTTGCTCTACATAAAATAATTTGAAAGCGGTTGTTAGAGTTAATGTGTAAAGTAGTTTTGAGAAGATTAAATTGAAAAATGATAAAAACACACATACGTGCAAACTATTATTCTGTACTGTTACATTACTTAAACTACTTCTTTGTAACATTTTAGAAAAATAGTTCAAAATTTAAAATGTCATAAATACCCATAAATTTAAATTGCCTGTATCTCTTAATCTAAAAAATAGCCTTCAGCAACTAAAATATTCATTTATCACAATGAAAGAATATATTTATTAACAGCAGAAACAGCATATTTACCATTTGCTTTTTTTTGGGTTATTTGTGGCCACAGTGCTAGAGTGACATATATGACCATGAACCATACAGTGACCAAGGGGACAAAGTAATAGAATTGGTAAGGCCGATCCATTACTATGCATAACACCACCACCAGGAAATTGAGACGAAACAAGACCTAGTAAAAAGCAGAAAGCAAGCATTTTCATTCTAGGCTTTGTACAAAGACAGATATCTCTGAGAGTATATAAATACTTAAGACCCAAATAATAACCGCACAAGTATATTTTACTAGTCCCTAAAATTACATTTACTCTATAATCACTGTAAAGAGCTGAATATAAAATATTTATGCATTGTAATTTTAACTAAGTCCCAGCAACACACCAGCTGAACTGTCCTCTGGCTACATTTTGTGAAATGCAGGAAAAAAAATCATCAGCCTTTCCAGGGAAGGTTGATAGAGCAGTCCTCCTTGCCAGGGATAGGATGATGTAAAGAAAGGGGTGGTTATTTCATCTCCTGTTTGACACCGGTTGACCCCATCTGTGATTAAACTGACAGGTGTTGTAGATTCAAAATAATATTACTCAGATTAAAAAGTGTATTTGGGGGCATGGCATGGGGGAGAGTGTCTATTGTGCCAGCATTGCAAATGGGTGCTATTTTGAGTTCTGGCTGTTCACTTCTGATCCAGGTCCCTGATAACATGCCTGTGAAAGAAAGCAATGAAAGATGCCCAAGTGGGTGGCCACACGGGAGACCTGCAAGGATCCAGCTTCATCCATGGTGGCCATTCAGTGAGCGTGCCAGCAGATGGAAAAGCTCCTCTCTGTGAAGTGGCCTTTCGAATAGGCATAAATCTTCAAAACAATAATAAACAGTTTTGTAGAAACTGTTCTTGGGATCTCTACAACATTCATTTTCAATATTGACATTAATCAAAAACACACACAAAAAAATCTGAACGGGATTTATATTAGCATTTTATCACTGACTACATAACCTTGGGGAAATTATATAAATTTTCTGAACCTTATCTGTGAACATAAAGACAAATTTTCAGAATTGTAATGGGGGTGGTTGGAGGGAATCATGTAAATAATGTTTAGAAAACTGTCTAGCACAAAGTGGAGGCAATAAATATTAATCTTTTTCTCAGAGAAAAATAATTAACTCCAGGTAATTATGTACATTCCTATAAAACTAAAGTGAATCAGCAATGTGGTCCCTTGTGTAGCACAGTTTTTATTATATTTTCTTCCAAATTATATTTTCCTTCTACTACCAATAACTAACTTACCTCAAGTTACTAAACACAAAAATAATACATAGAGTGTTATCTCAGAAATTCAAATGACTCATGGTCTTGTAATAATATTTAAATTTTCCCAAGAGGCACAGAGAATATTAAATTGGCGGATAAACAAAATGGCACAATGCATCCTTACCTGACATACTCTATGGATTCCGAAGTCTCCTTTGATCCAGAAATATGAGAAATGTCCGTACCCTGTCTGAAACAGATAGGCAGCAACCAGAACTCGAATGTGCATGTACACGGGCAGAAACTGTGGACGGAGACAAACAGCGAAAATACACAACGGTCACCAAACAGTATCTTGATTTATAAAGAACACCATTTTCATTTTGGCATTAGCTGAATGGTACGATCTATTGAATATTCTAGCAATGACCACACGATGTAGACTTGGGAATCAGACTGATCCAGGTTCAAATTCTGTAGGTTTCTGTTATGTGATTAAAAAGCCAGAGATGATGGCGTGGGTGTCCCTGTTAACCATGTGCGAAATGCAGATGGACGTTCTGGCCCCTGGCTTCAGCCTCGCCCAGCACTGGCTACTGCATCTGAGGAATTAAAAAGTAACCAACAGGCAGAAGGTCTGTCACTGTGATTGTTTCTAGTTTTATTCTCACTGTAAAGGCAGATTTACAGAGAAGGAGAGACAAAAAGATCTTTCATGTGCTGGTTCACTCCCCAAAGGGCTACCATGACCAGAGCTGAGCTGAGCTGATCCAAAGCCAGCAGCCAGGAACTTGTTCCAAGTCTCCAATGTGGGTTGGAGGGTCCCAAGGCTTTGGGCCGTGCTCCACTGCTTTTCCAGACCCGAAGCAGGAGCCTGCTTGGGAAGTGGGGCAGCCAGCGCATAAACCCGTGCCCATATGGGATCCTGGCGCTTGCAAGGGGAGGATTTAGCCATTGAGCCATGGCACAAGGCCCTGTCACTGTGACTTCTAAATTAACCGATTAATCATTGAAACATGGTCAGTGGGGCCAGCACTGTGGCATAGTGGGTAAAGCAAGAGCCTAGGATGCCGGTATCCATACGGGTGCTGGTCTGAGTCCTGGCTGTTTCATTTCTGATTTAGCTCCCTGCTAATCTACTTTGGAAAGCAGAAAAGATAGCCCAAATGCTGGTGTCCCAGCACCCAAGTGGGAGGCCAGGAGAAAGCTCCTGGCTCCTGGCTTCCACCTGGCCCAGCCCCCAGTGTTGTGAACTAGTGGATGGAAAATCTCTCTATCGCCCCATCTCTCTTTGTAACTTTACCTTTCAAATAATTTTTTAAAAGCCAAATGTTCATTTATACTCTTTATTACCATTTGTTATATAAGTTGATCTTTTACAATAAATATGCAAATAATTTAGAAGCATTATTTCCCTCCCATTCTGATTTCATGAAATTATTTTGTTTTATAATCCTATAAGAGCATATTCTAATCATTACATTCATTTATTAAGGTTTGTAACCTCAGAACACAGCCATTTCACCTGCATGGACCTGTTTATTCTGACTTAGGATGTTCTTCCCCCAACCACATTTTGCTTATTCAAATCTCATTCTTCAACCGAACCCAAAACTCCAATATTTTACTATTTACTGAAAATCATATCTCCTACCTGTGAGTTCCTACATCAACAAGCTAGGTGTCTAGCAGATTTATTTATTAGCTTTCATCATTAGTCTTTTGAAATGTCTTACTGTTGTATCAGAATATCTCAGTCATGAAAGCAGCAAATGTAGGACTAAAATAATCTCAGAATTTATTCAATCCAGAAGTTCACTCTTACCTTATTCCTGAATACACTCTAAAATACCTCCTTCATGATCTGACCAAGCCTGCTATAACTAGAAAACAGAACCCCGGAAGGCAGTCTGCTTTAATGGGCACTGACTGCCACAAAGTTTTTTTTTCTTTCATGAAAAATTTAAGTCTATTATGTAAGAGCTACTGTATTTACCTCTCTATGGCACCACTGTCCAACAGAAACAAAGCATGAGCCACTGAAGTAATTTTTAAAATGTGGCTAGAACACTCAAAAAGTTAAAGGGGGAGGCAGTACTTTGCCCAGTGGTTAAGAGTACCACATTCCACACAGGAGGTCCAGGGTTAAACACAGCTGCACCTGGCTCCTTACTCGAGGCTACTGCTAATGCAACTCTCAAAGACTGCAGTGATGTTTCAAGAAACTGGGTGCCCGCCACCCACATTGAAGATCTGTATGGAGTTCTCAGCTCCTGACTTCAGCTTTGTATCAGCCCTGGTCATCCTGGCCATTTGGGGAGTAAATTAGTTGAGAAGAACTCTTCATCTCTCCACCCCCTCCTCTCTCTCAAATAAATAATTTTCTTTTAAAAGCTGGGGCTGGTGTTGTGGCAGAGTAAGCAAAACTGCTGCCTGCCACACAAGCATCTACATAGGTGCTGGTTCATATGATGCCTGCTCCTATTTCAATCCAGCTGTCTGTTCATGGCCTGAAGATACTTAATGGTTTGGACCTGTCACCCTCATGGGAGATCTGGAGGACTCCCTGGGCTTCTTGCTTTGGCCAGGCCCAGTGTTGGCCATTGTGGCTATCTGGGGAATGAGGCAACAAATGGAAGAGCTATCTTTGCCTCTCTCTCTCCCTCATCGTATTCTTGACTTGCAAAATAAACCATCAATCAAACAAAAAAGCTAAAAGCAGGTAAAACGAATTTTAATACATATATTTTACATAAACATTACCATTTCCAAATTAAATATTTTACATCTTATATGCAGTTTTTAAATATGAATTTCATACTTAATCTTATATTTCATACTTTCAGAATACCTCAATCATGATTAGCTACATTTCAATTGCTTAACAGCCACACACAGTTCATGGTTACCATGATGGAGTCTACTTCTAGGGTCATATGCACAGCAAATCACACTTAGATGTAGCAGCTTTATAGATATTTGAAAACAAATGCCAAACTCAGGCTAACGGTTCCCAATTGTTTTCATCAATCTCTATAAAATTTTCAAGTCCCTTCGAGCTGGGCTGAGATTGCAAAGTTGTTGGACTTAGACTTAAGCAATATATTTGTTTGGAGATTATACTTAAACAATATATCTCATATAACTGCATTAAATAGAGTTCCTGCCAAGTCCCTGCCAAGGCTGGCCTGTTACACATTTCATGTAATATTTCTCTCAACTTTTAAGGCACTGTAAACCAAGAGAAAAGTTGTGGGGCTAGCAGAATGAACGCCGTCAGGTCGAGCTGAACACTTCAACGGCATGTGGCAGGCTGGATGACAGCACTCCCAAATATTTCACCACTTATCTTCTAAGAAAGGACAGGTTCCTAGATGGCCACACTATCATTAACAGGCCCCCAAAATGTAATATGAATATAGTATTATCCACTATCTAATCCGTACTCAGACTTCACAGATTACCCCAGGAATCCTCTATGGCTAAAAAATGTTATTTTTTTTGTCTACAAATCTTGAGTCAGGGAGCAACCTTGACTTGGTCGGCCAGCCTCCTTAACCCCCTTTCACCCAGACTGCTTTTCCTCCTGTTGCTCATGAGTCTGTACTACTTACAATAAAAATTTTAATATTAAAAATATATGTGGGGCCCGGTGCGGTGGCGCAGTGGTTAAGGTCCTCGCCTTGCACGCCCGGGATCCCATATGGGCGCTGGTTCTAATCCCGGCAGCCCCTCTTCCCTTCCAGCTCCCTGCCTGTGGCCCGGGAAAGCAGTCGAGGACGGCCCAAGGCTTTGGGACCCTGCACCCGCGTGGGAGACCCGGAAGAGGCTCCTAGCTTCATATCGGCACAGTCCCGGCTGTTGCGCTCACTTGGGGAGTGAATCATCGGACAGAAGATCTTCCTTTCTGTCTCTCCTCTCTGTATATCCGCCTTTCCAATAAAAAAAATAATAATAAAAAATTTTTTTTAAAAATGTGAAATTTCAACTTCATTATGTTTAACAGCTGTGCTGATTGCTGGTTCTATTCTTTTTCTATTCCCACAATTTCCCCTGAAAACATTTAACTGAGGTCTCATAATAAAAGATTACAAACAAAGAAAAACAAAACATAATGGAACACAAATTATCTAACATATTTCTATATTCCAAACCTGTTGCCCTACCCATGTCTCATAGCTATGCTTCCAAACATGTTTTGTGAAATATACTGACTTTATATGAGTAAGTAAATTAATTAAAAACAAAAGAATTTACACTAACAAACACAGTATGCCAGACCATCTGGATTATTTGAATAATTCTCTGGAATTTCTGCCACTGTTTCTCTTTCACCACAAAAAAATGGTACAACGTGCTTAGCTAAAAATAAAAACATTAAGATTAGGTAATGAAAATAATCAAAACAGCTTACAAGTTTTTAAAGATTTTTAAAATATTTGCATACTTGAAAGGAGGAGTCAGAGACGGAGGGAGAGACTGAGAAAGAGATTTCCCATATGTCGGTTCACTCCTCAAGTGGCCGCAGCTGGGGCCAGGACAAGCTGAAGCCCGGATCCAGGAGCCAAGAGCCTGGTCAATGTCTGCCCTCTTGGGTCACAGGGGCCCAAGTTCATGCGCCATCTTCCGCTGCTTCCCATGTTAGAAGGCACATGGATTGGATGTGAAGTATCTAGAACTCAAACCATACGTGATGCCGACATTGTAGGTGGTAGCTTAACCTGCAGTACCACCAAGTACACCCTTAAAAGTGTTGAAATAAGATTAATCCCTCAGTTACCTAACTACCAAACTCCCAAATGTAATTTATGCCATTAATGCTTTGCCAGTATAGAAACAGATCATTTCTAACCACAACACCTAATATAAAGGAACAAGCATATGGTAATTAATCATTACAAATGATTTGTTAATTTAAAGTATGTAGTTCCAGAACAGGGATAGTTTAAAAACTGCAATTTAGGACACATCGGGATATGATCAAAAAAGATACATTAGAATGCTAGGTTGGTAAATGATTATAATATGATCGAAACTCTTTATAGACTCACTGATATGAAGAACTTTAATCTGCAATTAATTCTTTGTATCTAATTTTTATAGGAGGATTGCCTTTTAATATGTCAGTGATTAATTACATTGCTAATGGGCATTTTCTTAAAACAAACTCTTTTTTTTCCTTCCAATTAGCCCAGTCTTTGTTCCAATGTCAGTTATTTCTGGTATTAAACTGTCCCTTTACTTACTCCTTGAAAAATATCTAGATCTATTCTATGAATTCTGAGCTGGACCTATAAATTTAGTCTCACTTAAAAAAAAAAAAAAAAGAAATAAAAAAGACCTTCTGCCTGCTGGTTCACTGGAGCCGAGTCAATCCAAAGCCAGAAGCCAGGAGCCTCTTCCACGTCTCCCATGCACGTGCAGGGTCCCAGGGCTTTGGGTTATTCTCTTCCGTTTTCCCAGGCCACATGCAGGGAGCTAGTTGGGAAGTAGAGCAGCTGGGACATGAATAGCACCCATATGGGATCCCAGTGTATGCTGGGCAAGAATTCAGCCACTAGGCTATGGCGCCAGGACCAAGTCTTACTATAGCTCTCCTCACATCACTTTTACCCTTGTGGCTTTTGCAAAAACTAACCGAATGCACTAAATCCCACCCGGCGGCATCAGCCGGAACAGCCACAGATGAATACATCATGGCCATGGAATTTCTCTAAAGATTACATTTCACTCCTTCTGCCTTCACCCCTCTGGCAAACTACCAATAATTTTTAAGTGAAGAATAGTGAAGAAAGACATCTTTTGTAAGTTTTAGGGTTATCTGAAAACTTTGAGGAATAATACTGTTTACCTAATTTTTTTTTTAAGATTTAGAACATTTATTTGAAAGGCAGTTACAGAGAGACAGATCCACCTGCTGGTTCACTCCCCAAATAGCCTAAACAGCCAGAGCTGCGCTGGGGCCAAGCCAGGAGGCAGGAGCCTCTTCTGGATCTCCCAAATGGGTACAGGGTCCTAAGCCATACCTGGCTGCTTTCCCAGGCCATCAGCAGGGAGCTGACTTGCCAGTGGCACAGCCAGGACATGGACTGGTGCCCTTCAGGGATGCCATCCAGCAGGCGGGGGCAATGGTGCCCCCTCTCTACCTTACCGCTGCCATGACACCTCCGAAATACTCCTTTCTGCTGACACTGCTCTTATCTCAGATTAGCACTCCGATGCTGATTCCAGATGTGCTTTAGCAGAGCAAACAAAGGCATGTAGCAGGAGTTCCCACACACTGAGCTTCTTAAATTTTTCAGTTATATTTTAGGGGAAATCATTTTGTACCTTCACTATAAGAACTGGTATGAAGAACTGGTCCGTAGGCCGACCCACTAAAGCTTGCTTTAACTGTAATGCAGACAGAATGTTCCAGCGCAACTCAGTGAGCACAGACCATGACAATCACACAGCTTTTAAGATTGCCAGGGAAGAAGAAGCTTCTGGCCAGGTGCAAGGACATTACTGTCCCCAAGGCACCGGGGTCCCCAAGACTGACAAGTTCCTGTGTCTGCATTCTCTGGGACAGGGAGTTTTAATGTTTCCTATTTATTTAAAATGTGTAAATTATAACGAAGGGGAGAACATAAGATACACCAATCTAATTTAATTTGTATGGTAATTTGTTTACTACAAATCCTTTGTAATTGTCAGACACAAAATTTACTTCTAACTTTAACTGTTCACCAAGATGATGTGAAATAGTATTGTTAAATATAAGCCATTTGTATTACACTAAAATTGAGGTCAAGCAAGTATAAACTATTGTCCCACCTTTTTAAGACAAATAATTTTGCTTTTAAAATTGAAGAGTTAAGAGGAGAATAAAAAGAGAAGTTACGTGTGAGCAAAGAAAGAAGGGTCTCTGAGAAAACACACAGAGACGTCCTGGGAGCGCCAGAGCGGCCCCGGCTCCTCCGCTTTGCAGACTCAGTCCCGCTTACCGTGCTCGCTCCCGAGATGTGGTAGATCAGAATCACCAGCTGCATCCAGCCCTTCCACTCATCCGTCTGCTCTCTGTTTAACACTTTTGTCTGTGCAGAGAAACCAACACGAGCTTAAAACTCACTCTAAGATAACTTTAAAACAGTGCATATCAGGTACATTGAATTCTCTCAGAGGATACAAAGCTAATGTTTCTTTCTAAAGAACATTTTTACTATGGGCAGCCAAAAATAATATTTTATTTCTTTTGAAAAGCTATAACAAAAAGCTTAAAAATTCAATATGGATTTATAAGGATAAACTAAGATATTTTGAATAGTTAATATTTATTTTTTTATATTACATTTGAACTACCACAGATATTTACTAATTTAAAAATTCTACAATTTTCTTTGGTAAAAATTTAGAATTTTAAAGTTAAAATCTTTTAGTTCTCTTACACCTCACCTCACTGTTAGGAAAAGTTCTAGTCTTATAGTCTTCATTAATTCAAATAAATTCTATCTTGTAAAGAAATCTCACACACTTTCTGACTGATGAAGGCAATCGTAAAACAGGAAAGTCTGAATCTTTCCAGCAGCCATATCATTATGTCAGTTCTAGTGCGTGCACGAATGTTTAACCTACGTTTACATAGATAGAAAGTATCTTTGCACGTGTAGGGACTTGTTAATATGTATATTTTTTACTTTATGAAAAAGACTAGAACTTGCAGATGATTACAGAATCAGGGGTGCCCCCGCCGTCTCCTCCCCTCAACAGGAGAGATGATGCCAAGCACGGCATCTTCTTCACAGGGTTTATTTTTCAACTTTTCAACAAATCTTCATGTGACTCTTCCCTCCAAACTGTTCCAAAGACGGCAACAGGCAGGGACGTACTGAATGAGTGTAGCTGTGATGGCTTCATGCTCATCTAAGTCCGCTCTCAGAATTCTGGCACAGAACTTATAATAAAAAGCAAAACACAAAGTCAAAGGAACATGATTACCCTTACCTCTTTAGTATTTTCATTGTAAAATACTCCCAAAACCAAGATGTAGATGATTGGGATAAAGAAGGATGAATGTGTGTAAAACTTGTTTTCCTTCATGAACAGGTCTGCGCGGTCACACATGTAGAAGTAAGCCATGATCAGGCCGAGCTTGCAGAGGGACTGCAAGAGTGTTTCTAACGCACATGCGGGGGTGCTGACGAGATTTTTCTTTTCCTCTCCACTTTCCAAATCAGTACATGGTTTGTTCTTACGGTGAGCATTACGATGGACTATATAAAAAATTAAATATCCAATAATAGATACAGTGAAAAAGCAAGCAGCCAGCTTCTGGAGGAGCGTGAGCGGCGGCCGCGGCTGACAGCAGGAGCCGTCTATAGGTTTCAGGATCTTATTGCAGTAAACATTCATGAGAATCATTGCACTCTGTGAACAAATCGAGTTACGCGGTTAATTATCGTGTCAGTGACATATTCTGCATTCGTTAGGTTTTCTTCTATCAATACTGCTGACTTTCTGGCACTAAAACCAAAATGCTTTCCTACTTTTTGCTATCACTTTTTGAATATACATGCAAATAAATAATAGCATTTCTTCAGTCTATAATACATAGCACATGGTGTTTCAAACTTCTGAGACTTTAGTCCACAATGAAGCAATCATTTTATGGTGACCCAGCACACACGTACAGAGACAGTGCCTTCATTCATGACTTGGAATGCATCCTAGCATTCTATTAAATAAAAAACACAAAAACTACTTTCCTGCTTGCTAATGAGTTATGACCTTCACTTTTAAAAACATAACAAAAACAAACCAAAAAACTAGAGTTTTAATAAAAAATTATTAATTCTTAGCCCCTCAAGATAGTTGCTCTGCCTTTCATTTCATTTACAATTAATTTAGAATTCTATGTACCTTTTTTAAAAAAAATCTACTTTTTTGCAAGGCAATTAGAGTGAGAGACAGATCTTCCACCTACTTGTTCACTGGGTTGGGTTGGGCTGGATAGGGCTGGGTAGGGCCGAGCTGGGCTGAACCCAGGAGCCTGGAACTCCGGCCAGGTCTCCTACATGGATGCAGGGGTTCACTGCTTTCATAAACACATTAGCAGGTAGCTGGAGCAGAAGCGAAGCGGCCAGGATTTGAAATGGGACACTCAGGGGATGGCAGGATTTTGGTAAAGGCTTACTTAACCTGCTATACCACAACCTGTCACAGAATACTATGTTCCATGTTCTAATGTAAATAAAATGTGGCATCTTCAAATGTTCAATTACAATGAAATTATTTTGGGCAAGCTGTTAATATTTTTTCTAGTTGAAGATGCAACCAAACTCTAACTATATAAAAATGTTACAGTTTAGACAGCTGTTGGACTCTAGATGATGATATTATTCAAGTCTAAGCATTCAAAACACTCAAATGGTCAGAAATTCCACCTTTTAGCCCCAAAGACTTCAAGAAATGCTATAGTTGACAATCCTGAAGATACTAGCCTAGAAATTTCATCACAAAGTTAAATGCCTTCTAAGCTGGAAGCTCACAAGCTCCTTAATGTATATGAACTACAGGTAAATGTAAAAATATGGAACCACTGACTTTATCAGTTACTCAAAGGGCTCTGTGACCTTCAAAAGTTAAGAATCTCTGTCTAATAATAAAAAATTGCAATCTGTTAACTACATTGTACTACATGTAAATCTCTTACCAGCTCCTGATTCGGATTTGCTCAGTATCCAACCTATCCCTTATATAATGATTAGGTTCTATGAACTACAAGGAAGAACAAAATTTCTTTTATACACTAAGAAAATGTGCTTTGGGGCTTGGCGTGGTCTAGTGGGTAAAGTCCTCACGTTGCATGTGCAAGGATCCCATATGGGTACCAGTGCATGCACAGGTGGCCCCACTTCCCATCCAGCTCCCTGCTTGTGACCTGGGAAGGCAGTGGAGGATGGCCCAAAACCTTGGGACCCTGCACCCACATGGGAGACCAGGAAGAAGCTGCTGGCTCCTGGCTTCAGACTGGGTGAGCTCCGGACATTGTGACCATTTGGGGAGTGAATCATCAGACGAAAGATCTTCCTCTATCTCTCCTCCTCTCTGTATATCTGACTTTTCAATAAAAATAAATCTTTTTTTTAAAGTGCTCTTCAGTGAAGCTAACTCATGCAAGCTTACGCTGTAATATAAAAACATAGAGCAGTTTTCAAATATGAGAGTTCCGAGAACTTAAAGCCTCTTAGAAGAAAAATCAAGTAATTAGCACTCAATAGATAAAGTTCCCTTTTCTCTCAATTCATAATTTCTTTCTTACATTACAGAAAACTCTCACTCCCTGTATCTTCGGCTAGGTAATAGAAAACAAAATTATTTGCAGATGCATATCTACATGGCATACAGATAACGAGGATAGCAATCACTGATATGGCAGTCTGCTCCTACGGACAAACAGGAGTTCTTACAGTTTCTCGGCTTGATTCAGGAAGATGCAGGCCATCCAAAGAGTCCATGATGGTTTCTTGAGCAATTAGCTTGGAAACACTGAACATCTTAACGTTGGATTTGGAATTTCTGGTGCTACTATTCAAAATACTGACTGCTGCTTCGTTGTAGGCATCTATCTTCTCATTCGTGATCATTTTCCTATTTTCACTTAACAGAACTTCATAGACGGGATCTACATGCAAAACACATTTTTTTTAAAGTGGCAGAAACTGTGATCTTACAAGTCAATAGATCTGCATTTCATAGTTTGTTCTGAAAGTCCAAAGAAAAACAGGGACCTCATCATTTATTTTTATCTAAAACTGGCCAAAGTTTGCAATCTTTCCTGTTCTAAATCCAGTTTCTGAGTAAATGAACACAGTCTTCCGATATAAAGAACGTTATCTCTTCCCTACATACACAGCTTTATGTTACAATGCACCTGAAGAATTCAAAAACTCTGGATTCTGGGTTATATTGGGAAACAAGAAATTTAAAATGGAACATGAAATTTTGCCTAACAAAAATTCTGTATTAGGCGGTTTCATTTTTTTTCCTATCACTGCTGAATTCGATATACTTTGTTCACACAACCAGAAGGCAATATAGTCCATTAATTTTAACAGGGAGAAAGGAAAGGAGGAAAGGGAAACTTCCCAACTGTCGCTTCACTCCCCAAAAGCCACAAAGGCCAGGACTGCTGCAGGGCCGGGTGAGTAGACAGACCTGGGAATTTGATTTCGTCTTCCATATGAGTTGGGGGAACCAAACTACTGTCTCCTGGGGTGTGCCTTGTTTGCAGGAGGCTGGAATAGAAAGTGGAGCTGGGATTGAACCCAGGTTTCCCCTTTGGGATACAGGTATCCCACGCAGCTTCTTCAGCTGTGTGGAAATGACATTCCCCAGGTGGTAAAGTTATTTGAAAATCAAGAGGTTTATTCTCTTAGGACTTACTCTAAACAATTTAATTTTTCTCCTTTTAATAAGAGAAAGGTTAACAACTTACGAGTAAATGAGGGACTGTGGAGCATATTATTATCACCCTAACTGAATCCAACTTGACTTAAGAGTTTCTAACAAACAACTTGAACTGCTAAAATATCTATGGCATCTCAATTTGTGTAAGGCATGAAATAATGGACATTCAATAAATTCCTGAAATGAGGTGACTTAATATCTATTTTCTCTTAAAGAAGTTCACTATCAAGTAAAAACTGGGGAGTGCAACTTTCAAAATATTCTAGAAATTTAAAAGTATTCTTACTTCCCAATGATTCATTGTCATGAAACAGGCTTACTTTTTCTGCGTTCTGGATACAATAAATACGCTTGATGAGCAACAAAGCACCAAGTGAACACATCTTTGCTATATCCCAGAGCGCACTGCCTGCTGAAGCTCCTGGCTAGGTAATCTTTACTTGTGAAACTTTTTAGTCTGTTTTTTACATTAAATGAATGGCACTAGATTCTTCTAATCTTATAAACCTACAAACTTTATCTGTAAAAGCAATAATTGTACTTTTTAAAACAGGAGGTAACAACCAAAACATATGTACAAAATGACACTTTTCCATTATTCATTCCTTACCTTGTAACACCCAATAAACATCACTAGTTTTCGCCAGTTTCTCTAGCAGTGGTGCTATGGAGCTGATGTTCACCTTATACTGTGAAAGCGCTTCACTGCTCCCATTGTGAATCTTGATGGACCACTGAGAAGATGTGAACATTAAGCTCTAATTTGGTACTGATCAGAGAAAAATTAAAGTATATGATTTACCTATAATAAGGATCATTATTTTAAGATAATTTCAAATTTTACTCAATATTGGAATAAAATATGTTCAAATTATTCCATAAAATATATGCAGCAGTTAGACAAAGCTCTAATAAATTAGACTTTCAATGTATAACACTCATGAGGCATACAGTTTTAGGTGTAGTACTGATACTTAGCATAAAATGCACTCAACTCGTTCAGATCTTCTTATTAAAATTCATCAATGTGATTTTGTAACAGAAGTAGGAATTAAAACATAAGTACATTAAACATTTAACTTAAACTAGCATTTTCTCAGCATGTCCTTAAGTGTGACATAAACATCATAAGAATCCATGTAATAACTTACCGTGGCAGCTCCTGCTACAATCACGTGGGGCTTTGCAATGGGATCCTAAAGGAAGAAACATCTTTAGAATCGTGTTTCATCCAGTTCAAGGAACAATATAAGTACTATCATTTTCTGCTTTACAATTTAACTCTGACTTCTATTTGTATTTTAAGTTTTTAGAATTTCTCTTTAGACTTGTTACAAGATAAATAAAATATTCACACCTGAAATGCATAGCTATATGGTTATACAGAATGGCATAATGTTGACATGACTATCTCTCTGCTATTCTTTAAAAAAAATAAACTACTAAAGTCTAAGGTGAATCATGTTGAACTCTGGGAAATCAAGTGCCGACAGTGAAATGCCAATGTGCTCTCTCGGCCTAGTAGAAAGTAGCCACAGATGCTTACAGGGTACACAGTGTGCCACGGTGAGTGAAACACAAGGCCAGTGCACACAAGAAGCAATCTTATAGGAAAACTGAATTCAACGTGACTTAACAAAATAAACTAAAAAGTATTATAGTCCATACGTGAGGGGCGAGCGCCATGGCTCAACAAACTAATCCTCTACCTGCAAGTGTCGGCATACCAAAAGGGCACTGCGTCCTGTCCCAGGTGCTCTGCTTCCAGTTCAGCTCTCTGACCTGAGGCCTAGGAAAGCAGCAGATGGCCCAAGTCCTTGGGAGCCTGTTCCCATTAGAGAGACCTGGAAGAAGCTCCTGACTTTGGATCGGTTCAGCTCTGGCCATTGCAGCCATTTGGGAAGTGAGCCAGCGGATACAAGGTCTTTCTCTGACTCCTTTTATAAATATGCCTTTCTATTCAAAATAAATAATCTTTTTAAAAATGCACTAAGAACAAATAAGGGGGTATTATACATATCTTTTTCAGTGAGGACAGGACTCAGAACCATTCTAACAGCAGAAGTCTGGCAGCGACAGAGTTGGAACTAGAGGGTTTGTTTGATGAGTTCACCGCACTCTGCACCACATCAAAGACCTGGTAGTGCCATCATGAGTACGAGAAACAATTAAAAGCAAGACATCGAATAAGAAACAAACCTGACTCCTAATTTCTAAAGAAGCCTCCTTTCTATCTAATTATGAAGGTAACATTTGCCTAGTGTAAACTACTGTGAAAACAGACAGTGCTTAAGTCCCTGATCCCGAGGCCGCAAGGACATGCCCATCCCAGTGTGGCAGGCTTCATCCAATTCCCTATTCCCCTAGTGGCCTCTTTTCTCATCTTCACAGTGGGAATCCAATCTTAAATCCTTATGCAGGTTCCTCTTAGTCTCCTTTTCTTCAAGCTGACCAGAGAAAGAAGAACTTACCCAACAGCTGCTCTTGTCCTGCTGCCCTATTCTGACATTGCCATTTAGAGACACCCCACCTGCCTCACTTCTTCTGATCAAAGAGTAGAGAGAATGCACCTCTATGCACTGAGGGCTTGACCCTTACTCTGTCTACAGTCCCTCTCCATAACCCATTAGTTGGCCTCTATCCCTACAGGGGTTAAGACCCATGTTTTAGCATGCCCAACTGTATCAATCTCTTGAGCAATGAAACGCAAATTAACCCCCCAAGTTACCAATCTCCTCAACTCTGACCCACAAGTTACCCAACTCCCTCCAGTGTCAATCTCATTTCCCTCCTGCACTCTCCCCCAAGCTGAGTGTTCAATCCCCTATAAACATAACCTCAGGAATGGTCCTCCCGCCCTGTCCTTGTCTTCCACCTTACATTCTTAACCAACATACTACTTGAAACAGTAGTCTGCCTCCACTATGCCAATTTCTTTATTTTTCATGCATGCATCAATTTGTCTTATTTGGAACCCAACTATATTCTAATATTGAGCACAAAACTAGTCATAAGATATAAACAGTAAAAAATGTAAGTCTTCGTAGTTTTCAGGATCCAGCAACCTAATATGGAAATACTTTTAAAAATACACATAATGGATGTCCAGCAGTTTAAAATTTTCTGTACCCAGACAAAATTTTCAATTCTCTTTCCCCATGAATTGTCCGAAATCCTCTTGTATATACATACATATTTACACAAATATTTGCCTTGAATGAATGAAAATCACCAATTAATCTCTACGTAATCCCAGATGATTACATAGCAATCCATATAATCCATATAAATATACTAATTTTCCCTTTCCCCCTACAACTAAAGGGAGTTTTACAACAGAAATTAAGACTCTAAAAACAGTTTATTATTAGAATTGCAAATCTGAGGATACAATGCATCTGCAGGTCAGTGGGTAACTTGTAGGGTCTGCATGATTTTAAAGGACTTACGCCGAACTGATGTTTAACCATGAATTTGTACTCCTTCATAGGATATTCTTTCAAGTACAGCCATAAATATGAAACATAACGTACCTTCAAATCATTTGGTAGATCACATACAATACTGTTACCTACTTCTGGACATTTAGAAGCTTATCATCAACGAAAGCAAAATACACTAAGTATAGAACCCAATTTATAAAAGAGCCAAATTCTAGAAGCTGTCTCTTCAAGTCTCAATTTTTTTTAAGACCTGGATGGATACATTTTCTCCAATAAATAAAGTTAGAAATACTGGATAAATTCTCCCATGATTGTACAAAAACCTTTTTATTGTATGATGTTGATTGCCGTACTAAACATATTCTGTAAAAAGATGCAAAACAAATGCTGATGCAGAATAGGTAATTAAGCAAAACAAGGTCAACAAAATTGAACATTGTTTCATCCTCTCAAATGCAAATGCCTCTGGGGAATAATTCAGGTTTAATTTTTAAAAACCAAGAATTATATGGAGACTACTGTACTGTAAGTCGACTTGTGAGAATGTACGGGTTTTCTGAGGCTAACAATATGCCTGCACTTACATCTGATTTATCTCTGCACAATATGAACTGAAACATAGTAGCTTTAGCTCTTCTGGCACAAATGTAATGATAAAACAAGAGGCCACGGAAATTTAAAAAAAAAAATAAAACTCCCTTAAGTACATAGGCATGGTTTTAAAGGACAAAGAGGGGGAAAAAAACAAAACAAAACAAACTAAAACACTCTCAGGAGACTGTTCCAGCTATTAGGGCTGAAAAGATTACCTGGGTTTGGATAAGCTAAACCACACCAGAAACAGAAAATTGTAAAGTCTGGCATAAACAAAATCTAGCTGAATGTCAGAATGGTGGTAACAGAGCTGAGTTATTGGGTCCACACCATCTCTTCTCTATGAGGTGCGACAAGCAGGCCCACACAGCCGGGCCGCCATCCAGAAGGCAGGCAGAAAGAACAGAGCAGTGGACTGGTAAGCAAACAAAAGAAGAGCCATGGATGCACCTGGGTTTTTGTTACTCAAAAGGGGAAAAAAAAAGGCCTACATTTGCAAGTACAGACCTCAGTCCACACTTTGATACACTGCTTCATAGAACCGTTAACTTCCGGATGCCACAGAAAATCCTAAAAGGAAAATGTCAGAAGAGAAGACAAAGTCAGACCTCTGGAGAGAAACATTCTCACATTCTCACACTAGCACCTAAACGCCAAATCTCACTGGACATTTTCTTCTCCTGCCTGGGTTGGGAGAGATTTCACAATTTTCCCTGTAGCTACATCTGCCCTTCTCTAATCTACTCTGCACTTTCCTTTTTTCTGGCTAGAAAATCATGTCTGAAAAGTTTACAACTGTCCTGCCACACTCTGTTTAAGTATCCAGTGACTTTTACTGACTCTAATAATAAAATTCAAAATCCTTAAAACTGCTAAGGGAGGGATCTGATCCGCACTGCCTTCCTGCACTTTCCTCTTGCACTCTGTGAGCCCTGTAGGAACCAATCAGCTCCTGGGACGCTGTCTGCATTCCTGTGTCACCAGGACATTGTACCTATCGTTCGCTGCCCATGATATGTGTCTACTCCCTCAGCCTGGACAAGCCTTTGTCATCCTTGAGGCCACAGATGAACAGCGCTTCCTGCAGAAAGGAAAAGCTTTCCAGTTCCTTGCTCGGAACACTCCTACTGCCCTTACGTTCCACTGCCATTCTGAGGTAACTGGTGCTTGTGTGTAGGGAGCTAGAATGACCTGGAAGCACTGTTAGGGCAAGGATGTTTTGATTCCAACTGAAGTCATGTGCACTGTTACAGTTAGTAACACTAAATGCATACTGGTTTCACAGGACCACACAAGATTCTTTGTCTCCTGGATAAAAATGTACAACATCTGGCGCTGGTGTCTAGCCCAGCAGCCCAAATGCCAGTTAGACTTCTGCACCGTTCTCCATCCTGGAGTGGCTGGCGTCCAGATCCCAGCTCTGGTGCATGTCCATTCAAGTGAGGACTCAAGCACTGAGCGCTGGATGAGATTCCCCAACTGCTGCCTAAGGGTTAGCTCAGCTCTGGCCACTCAGACATTTGTGGGGTGACCAGGGGATGGGGGGCACATGCTCTCTCGCCCTAACTTTCTAATAGATAAACTTTCTTAAGAGATCTGAAAGCCCAAGTTTTCTATTTCATGGCACAAGGCCACTAACACAATTATGGATACCATTATCTTACTACCTATATCTGCTCTTCAAACACTGCAATATATTTAGAATTCACAAAGCATTAGCTAATTTGCAAATAAGCCAGTGACTGTAGTTTCCAGATTATAACATCCGACTTGCTATCGCTGCACTTACCACTTTAACAGAAGAAATCTTGTCTTCAAATGGAATGTTCTCATGCTGCCATAAAAAAGGAGATAACGGACAATATTAATGTACTCTTACATGTAATTAAATTATTCTCCCTTATCTGCTTTTGCTAATTTATTTTTTGTAACTAATCTCAATTATCTATATATTCACCTGAAGGGAAACAAATATACATGGAATATTTAAATATACGTCACATCAGTTAAACAGTTTAAATGTGATTTCAACATTTAAGATATGGTTCTCCAAGATAAAAAACTCAACTGCAAACAAGTAGACACATGAACATGCCTAGATAAACTATCTTTTGGCCAAGCTTGCTGGGATTCTAATTCAGTCCTAGTTTCACTATCTCTACAGACTGCCTGCCAGTTAGGCAGGCCTCATGATCAACCCTGTCTAATGCAACATGATAGATGTCATACTGGCACTTGGCAATACCTAGTCCACACTGTGACCCTGAGGCAATGACTGAGGAGGCTGAAGGTTACAATGGCAATGGCAACATTGGGCCAAGACAAGAATCCTGCCAGCAGGATTCCCCATAAGACCACAGCACAAAGCTTCTTGCCAGCCCACCTAGGATGTGACTGCTAAATGGGAAATTGACTTCTGCTATGCTCAGACTGAGAGGTCTACTGTCACAGCAGTATCTGGTCCAGTGCCAGCAGTGCGCTGGCATAGGCCATGGCAGGACAGAGGGCTGGAGGACTGTGGATTTCACTTTGAAGACACCACATAGTCCATCATGTAAAGAACAGAAGTCCTTCCAGGGTTGGAAGTCCTGGATGGCTAGAGGTAGGGATGACCCACCCAAGGTTAATTCTCTTCCTACAACCAAGAAAGAACGATACAGTTGAGCATTTACATTTATGTCTGTATGAAACATACTTCTCTTTTTTCAACAGGCTAACTTTTTTTTCCCATTTCTCTCGGTCCTTCTCAAGCATTATTTCTAAAGGCAATCTCAGGATCATTAATTTTGTGAAACTTCAAGGTATGTTCTATAAAAAGAGTTTGGATCAACAAATACATCTGGGAAACATTGGGCCAAAGTCTCACAGGTGTTCCCCTCCTACTTCCTGAAGCCCAGATCTTTTTAAAAATTTGTCTTTAGAGAACTTAGGTGTCATAAACTTTCTTTGCATCCCTTTGTACAGTTTAGTTAATCTAACTCAACTGCTTCTTTTCTTTACTAAGTTAAAAAAAAATTTTAAATATGTGTTTATTTGAAAAGTCGAGTTACAAGGTAAGCACTGTGTGTAGCAAGTAAAGACAGCAATTATGGTGCTGGCATCCCATATGGGCACTGGCTTGAATTCCAGCTGCTTCAGTTCCGATCTGGCTCCCTCATAATGTACCTGGGAAAGCCTGGAAGACTGCCACATGCTTGGGCTCTGCACTCACATGGAGACCTGGAGGAAACTCCGTGCCTCAGACCAGTCCTGCTCCAGCCGTCTAGGCCATTTGGGGGAATGACTAGGGTAAAGGATGTCTCTCTGTGTAACATGGCCTTTTAAATAAAAAGATGAATTATTTTAAGGGAAAAAAAAAAAGGTAGTGAGAGATGAGAAACAAGAGAGAGCCCCCTGCGACAGCTGAGGCAGGCTAATCTAAAGCCAGAACCCTGGGTCTCCCACATGGGAGGCAGGTGCCTAAGAACTTGAGCCATCTTTTTCTGCCTTCCCAGATCATTAACAGGGAGCTGGATCAGAAGTGGAGTAGCCAGGACTGGAATGGGTACTCCTATGGAATGCCAATGATGTTAAATACTAATGATGTTAAACATCTGTCAGACGTATCAGGACTTGTGTTTCCACATCTGGGAGACGGCTGACACTGCCTGCCTCTCCCCTCTTTTGTTAATTGGTTGTGCCTATCTCCTCTCCAACTGTAGCATGTCTTTTTCTCCTTAAGGTAACTTTCAGTGGGTACATACTCTTAAGGTATGTAAACATCTTTTATTTTTATGGTTAGTACATTTGTTTTCTGTATTTTAAGATACACATCCCTATTTTTAGCAAATAAGATATTCTCTGGGCCAGCGTCATGGTGTAGTGAGTGAAGCCCCTGCCTGTAACACTGGTATTCCATGTGGGTACTAGTTCTTATGCCAGTAGCTAGCTCTACTTCCAATCCAGCTCCCTGACAAGGGCCTGGAAAAAGCATGAGAGGATAATTCAAGTGCCTGGATCCCTCCATTCACACGGGAGACCGGGATGAGGCTCCTGGCCCGAGGCTTCAGGCTGGCTTAGCCCTGCACACTGCAGCCATTGGGGAGTGAACCAGCAGGCAGAGCTCTCTCCCCTCTTTTCTCCGTAATTCTAACTTTCAAATAAATAAAAACAAATTTTAAAGAAACTGAATAACTTAAATTTAAAAAAAAAGGTATATTCTCCAGAATTTTTTTCTAAAAGTTGACTACCACATTTAAATGTAAACTCCTCTAGAAATGATTTTACTTAGTGGCGTGAGGTTGAGATTCAAATTCACTTTTTCCCATGTTTGTAACTAATTGCTCCATTAAATTCCTCAGCAATCTTGAATGGTATAAATCTTGGTGTATATGTATGTTTATTGCAGAGCTCTAAATTCCATTTCATTAATTTCTTTAAGTACATTAATACTACATTGTCTAAATAAATCTTGAAGCTGCAGGACTTCTTTGTACTTTGTTCTTCAGACTTGTCATAGTTTTTCCTGGTCCACTGCCTTTCTTCAGCATAAACTCTAGAATCAACTGCTCAAATTCCATCACACATCCTGTCAGAATTTTACTGGAATTACATGGAACCTACAGAACAAATGATATCTTTATGAGGCCTCCCATGCGGGTGTATAGTATACATTTTCTATTTATTTATGTCCTTGTAAATTGTCCTTTGATAATGTTACCATTTTCTGGACACAGTTTTCCACATTTGCTAAGTTTATTCCTTTAGAACACACATATTGTGTTGTTTTTATTGATGGTATGTTACAAAAATATTTTAACTGTATATTGCTGGCACATATATATGTAATTAATCTTTAGCAGTTTGTTGAAACATTACAATTAATATCTGTTCATCTTATAATTAGTAAATTTTCAATAGAATCTTTGGAATTTTGTATGTAGGTAAGTACATACTATGGATCCCTGAGTCTTTTGTTCTCTAATTTTTACATTCTTAAAAATTGTCTTCCTTCAGCTGGAATATTTAATTACAATGTTGAATAAAAACAGCAAATAGTGAACACTATTGTCTTTTCATTTTAATGCAAATGTTTTTCATTTCATCATTAAAAACATTTACTATGTTTTTAGAATTTTTAACGCAAATATGTTTTTCATTTCATCGTTAAAAACATTTACTATAGGTCTCCAGAATATTGATCAAATGAATTCAAATCACATTCAAATATAAAGTTGACCTACATAAAAGAATGAACAATATCAATGTGACACTGCTGTAACTTGCTTAATAGCACAATCTATGATCAAAAAGGGACATGTATTCTCAATTGCGGAGTGTATTCTCTAAGTTGTTCAACTGTAAGCTTATAAACCAAGCATGTTAATAATTCACTCTGTGTTTGCCACTTTTATTTCCTTGTCCTATTATTATTGAGGGAACAATGAGCAATTCTCTAACTCCAGCTTCCTGTCGATGCAGTCCCTAGGACGTAAGCGTGACAGCCAACATGTGTGGATTCCAGCTCCCCACACAGGACATGCAGCCTGTTCCTGCTTTGGGCCTGGCACGGCCTTTCTACCATCGGCCTCTGGGAAAGAACCAGTGGATGGATGGACTCACTCCTTCTCTCTTCATTTGTCGTTCTCTTGTGCCTTTCAAATAAACCGATTTCAAAGTACTATTCTACTGCACACTATTTTCCAATATTGTTATTGAGAAATATGCTCTCAAAGCTTTGTTTTCTATGTGTGTGAGACTTCAGCTACTAGTATCTGCCCTTGGGTCATGAACTGCCCATGGAGCATCACTGCTTTCACCTCAGCCTTTTGTTTCCTTTTTGAATAGTGTCTTCCAGTTCCTTACTGTCAAGCACATTTTAAAATCCAAGATCTAGATGTATAGAGAAGAAGCAACACGAAACAGGATTCTCTACTATCAGACTTTTCAAGCTTTTAACACCCTAGCCTAAATTAAGAACATCTGAAAGGGAAATTTGATATTTAAGCCTGGTCAAATTCATTTAATTAGAGTTCTCACAGAACTTGACCCTGAGCCCTTGCACCCATGTGGGAGACATGGAGGAAGATGCTGGCTTCAGACTGCTGTAGCTATTTGAGGAGTGAATCAGCAGACAGAAGACCTCTCTCTGTCTTTTCTTTGGGTAACCCTATCTTTCAAACAAGAACAAAACAATTTTTTTATTATTAAAAAAAAAAAGACTGGGATACATCATCTTTGTTTACTTCTCTTTGAAATGCATATGCATTTTATTTGCTTGCCATAAATGTATGTATGTAGAAAAACTGGAAACCTAAGTGTTGTAACTAACACTCAGAAAAAAAGTACCATTTTAGTATATATGTTTAGTTCTGGACTAAATCATTACAGCTTTTTTACCCATCACCAACCCTATAGTCCAATTTTCAGGAAGTCACATAATTCTAAATCAAGAAATAATTAAACTATCTATTTGTAATCAGAAAATTGTTGTTTGACTTTTCTAAACTTTAAATGCTGATCATTTCATGATTTTAAATTGTTCTTATTCTTTTGTATAAATTTGTGTGTATAACTAAGATAGAAAATAACATTTGCAAATACCCAATACAGGGCCAAGCTGCTGCTGCGGGGCTGCCATATTCTCACCAGCAGCAGTCCACAGGTTTAGGATGGAGGTCCACTATCACTTGGTGCAGTTACTTAGCTGCGAAATCCTAATTTTTCCACCCCCTGCCACAAGGAGTTCACATCTGCTAAGTCTAGCAGATTTTCATCAGAAATTTATGAGCTGCTCCTCCTTCATATTTGAATTTTCTGGTACTGTTTTTCTGCCCTATCCATTGCTCACTGCCACTCATGTGTTGCCTGCAAACATGGATTAGAAACCTTGATATTCCAGCTCCCCGGGAAAGAGCACAAGATGGTCTGAGTGTTTGGGCCCCTGCACTCACACCAGAGACCCGAAAGAAGCTCCCTGCTCCTGGCTCCAGAAAAGCCCAGCTCCAGCCATTATGGCATTTGGAGAGTGAACCAGCAGCTAGCAGATGAAGAGCTCGCTCTCTAACTCTGCCTCTTCAAATAAAATCATCTTAAAATACAACTTGGATCTTACAAAAAATGTACAAACACAACTATGATGAGAGAATTCAACAAAAAAAAATTAACTAATTAATGCAGGAAAAGACACTAATTAGCTTTAGAAGAAAAACATGCTTCTAAAATCATTATCTTTTTATCAAAGTAACAAAAACTTCCTGTATTTACTGATTGATTGGTACAGGAAAAGTCCAGAGAATTGGGCTCTGACATACACTGCCAACCAGTGCACAAACGAAAACAATTGGGTAACCTAATCAACAAATTGTTAAAAGCCTTGACATTCTTTAGCTTAGTATTTGCACTGTAGAGATTCTATCCTAAGCACCTAAAAACAATGTTTACAACACAAAGAAGTAATGGAGCTGACCCTTTCCATTGCAAAAATTTTAGAAAATTACAAAAAGCTAAAATTGAGGCAGATATATACAATTGTATTACATCTACTCAGTGCCAGGTTGATAAAACAATATGGTGAACTGATAACCAGGAGAGAAATAAAGTAAGATAAATTTGCACATGTCAAAAGCTTACAATGTTTACTTTTACTTTTTTTAAGAAACTGCAAAGTGTTAATATGAACACAGAAAATATTTTCTCTATCTACTTGCTGGCTTTTCATGGTAAGATTTATTATTCCTGAAAAGTAAAAATTTAAATTAATAAAAACCCTACCAGCACTTCTTTCCACTTGTTTTTCTTATGTTCCCTATTTGTGCAAGTTATCCCTTTTCTCTGCAGTTTTTCTGAAATCAAAATAAACCTTCTCAGTCCTACTATTCATAAGAAGAGCTTCCTTCCCTCTACCAGTCACATGGTGCCCTCTGAAATAACACCTGAGAGGAGGCAAAATGGGACTTTTACCTTATTTCCTTCTTCTTTGAATTGAGGATTAATTATTTTTACGAAAGAATAAAACAATTGGCGAATTCTGGAATCTCCAATAAATGCAATATGTTTATCTACAAGGCAGTTCTTTGCTTCACTGAAATCAACAAAGAAACATTAATTAGAATAAGTAAAATCAATATATTGGTCCTTCAAACATGTGGTTTGTGAACAAAATGGCACAGGGTTCTTATGCATATGGTCACGTGGCTTTAGACAGAGGAGGCCAGGTTTGTTTAACTTACCAGGCCATGTAGGTGTTATTAACCGTTACCTACCCCATCCATGAGTGTTGAAGATGCACTTGACTGTGCTAAGTGCTTTATATCCATCTCTTTAGAACCACTGCACCAGTAAGTACCCGAGCCACCTAGCAAGCACCCTCTGCTCCAAGGCTTCTGCCTCAGCTCTGGCAACCTCATTCTTGCCCTACTCCTCCTCCTGACGCTTGAGGGCAGGACACCCCCTCCCCGCCCCCCTGGATGAGCTCCACCCACCCTCGGTCAGCAGGTGTCTACCACCAAATAAAGACAAAAAGTATAATGCGCTCTGTTTCCTTCACCAACCCCTCTCCAGCAGACATTGTGATCCATTCTGAAAAGAAGCACAAACAACAAAATGAGCAAACTTTACCTGATTTTGTATTTGTGCATCATACAGCTGTGTGGCTGCCAAACTTTCTCTCCAAGAAATCTGCCACTTGAGAGAAGGTATTCACACGAGTCATTGCCTGTCATAATGAAACACAGACAGCACACAGCTTGCAGGCCTCACCAGACCTTCCTCACCCACACACAGCACGGGGAATAGCAACACGTCCAGCACGAGGACACCTTGGTCAACAAGACTCTGCATATACACGAGGAGGCCCACACTCCTATAACCAAGTTGAAGAATTCCTATCACCCGCCAGCACCACGGCCCTCCTAATGGCAGGGCCTAATATAATCTCCATGTGTTTGGGATGTTACAGGTTTAAGCAAACCTACAGCATTCAGTTGTATAAAAGTTTAACATTTAAAATTATGGAAAACATGCAGTATTTGATAAAGACAAGGACATGATTATATAACTGGGTTTATTATTTATTATTGTATGCATTTACTACACATTCTTACCATTGCTTCATTTCATTTTATCATTTTTGCCATTGTTTCAGAACACAGCCACACTTACTAAAACACACTTACTAAAAACTAAGTTTACTAAGAAAGAGTTTGCTATGTCAACAGCAGCCTCTCATTTACTGCATCTCCTGACAGAATCAAGTGATCGTACGCAGTGGGCAGCGCCATGGGGCAGCAGACAAAGCCACCCACCAACAGTGCCAGTATCCCACACAGGTGCTGGAGTCCCAGCTGCTCCACTTCCCACCGAGCTCCCTGCTGATGTGCCCAGGAAGGCAACAGAGGATGGCCCAAGTGCTGGGGCCCCTGTGCCCATGTGACAGACATGAAAGCAGCTCCTGCTTCCTGGCTTTGGAATGGCTGTTTTTTCCAGCTCCAGCTAAAGCGGCCATCCGGGGAGTGATCCGGCAGATGGAGGACCTCTCTGTCCATCTCTCTCTTCATGAACCCTGCCTTTCAAATAAGTAAGTATTAGAGAGATGGGGGGAGGTGGTTCCGATGGGGGTTTGTGAATGCGCACTCCGATGTGCACACAATAAGAAAACATTTCTCAGAACCTCAGAGCAGCCAGGGCAGCTTGCAGGGATGGCACCCCACATGGACACGGCACCAGTGCCAGTGCTCTGCTTCTCATCCAGCTAATAACACATCTGGGAAGGCAGCGGAAGGTAGCCTGACCGCTTCGGACCTGCCAACCACGTGGGAGGCTCAGATGGAGGCTGCGGCTCCTTCCTGCCTTTAGCCTGGCTCAGCTCTGGCTGCTGTGGCCATTTGGCAAACAAACTCACAAGAGAAGCTCTCTCTCTCTCTTTTGCTTTTCAAATGCCTAAATAAATATGAGTGACTAATGATTAGGCGTCCTCTTGGAAGAGATTCCTAATTCTCAAAGCCTAAGTCCACTGTTTTAATAGTCCCTTCTTCTAGTTCTTTTCCAGGGACATAATCTCAAGTATGCATTTACTTCTGCTTACCGCTCCTGCTCCTAACTGGGAAAGGGTTAAGGGCTAAAACAGAAGACTTGGAAAATGACCTCTTTAACCATTATCATGAGCACACCTAGAAAACTGGCTTTAGAACTGCATCATAAATAAGTGTTGAAAAAGAAAATAAATAAATAAAAGAAAATTGGTTTTAAACACAAAATTCCTTAAGTAGCTAACTTTCATTCTGTGTAACATGGATCATTCTATTCCCTTATAGTCATTTTATTATATCTTAACTAAATATAGATGATCGAAAGGACATCAAGGGGGACTTGGAGACATTAAAAACGCTCAAATATGCCCAGTGGGTGAAGGAAAAATGAGATGCTTAAATTATCTGTAGGATTTTAATGGAACGTGAATATTATTGTTTTACAATTAACTATGGCCATGCTAAGCCTCTGGCAACAGAATACCATAGAACAGAAATGGTATTGCGGTACTCAGAGCACAAATGGCAAAGACCCAGAGGCCCCGAAAACAGAACACACACCTTTCTTCTTCGTGTAGTCATTCTCCGATCTGGCCAAAATACAGACAAATGGTGAAATAAATTCATCACAGATATCATAAATACTAACAATGCTGCTGCCCTGGGATCATAAATTTGAAACGGGATTGGAAAGAAAAGTGAAATAATTATCTCCTTGGTGGAAAACTGGAAAATGAAAACTGGACATCGGTTAGTAACATTTTATAGTTATTTACGCAGCTCAAGTGGGATTTTTTTGGTATTTAAACAGCTTTGATGAGCTGCTTCTAGTAACATATAAGTAATTATTTCTAAATATTAAAGACTAATTCTAGTTCTAAAAAATGAAACAAAAATAAATAAAATTAAAATACAAAATAAATACATTAATTAATTAATTTTAAAAGACAAGTAAAGCAAAGACTCCAGGTACATGCAATTAGGTTCCTAAAAATAGCATTATTCTATAGTGGCTCCATAGTAAAATTATACAAAAAAAATCTAATGAAAGCTTAGAATCAGGATATTAAAAAAAAAAACACATTTATAGATTTCTACCTCTTTAAATATATCTGTTAAACCACTTTAAAAGTTTAAAACATAGCTATTTCCTAAAAAGATGGTAAGTTACAAATAACTGGCTATTAATTCTATGAGCGCTATCAAACTTTCTCCTTTCCTAAGTTTTTCTAAAGTCAGTTACAGAGAGGAGAGACAAACAGGGGAAGGGGGGAGGGAGGGAGAGAGATGGAGAAAGGAGTTTCTAGATCAGTTAGCAAATGGCTCTCATGCCAGTGCCAAGGGCCTGGAACTCCATCCAGGTCTCGCACATGCGTGGCAGGGGCCCAAGTCCTTTGCTCATCTGCGGTTTGCCAGGCACAGCAGCGGGGAGCTGGATCAGACACAGAGCAGCCCGGAGACAACGGGCGCTTCCACAGCCCACTGCACTGTGACACCTGTCGTGTTATCATTGGACTTCAAGAAAAGCACACCTTGAACAGCCATCACTGTGGCACCCTGTAGTCACTCCGCAACTGAACAGGCTATCAATAAGATTTTGTAAAGATACAAGTGACATACCAATATCTTAAAGGAATCTCTCCGTTCTGTACTGCAAAATATGTTTTCAATACAAAATTCTCTCCTCACTACCGCTATCTACAGCTTTTCAGTAGGGCAGCTACTGGGAGACAACAGCGCTAATCTGACAGGAAAACACTCAAGTCGTGCTGAACTGAAGGGACTTTACAGAGTGTCTCCGAGACTACTGGTCCTTCCAGGAAAGAAAACCTTCGTTCTGTTAGTGAGTGCTAGTTGAAGATGACTCGTCCGAAGAAGTTTGACCATACAAGTTTTTCAATAAATCTTGCCTGACCTCATTTTTAACAGTCTTTGTCGCTTGTAAATTGAGTCTGGGTAGAATACAGAAACTGCACCAGTTACTTTAACAAAGAGCATCTAATATAAAAAATTAGAGAAGTAAAAGAATTACTAACTACACAATGGAAAAGGCAACAAGATTTTTTATATCAGCAAAAAAATCATAAAATACTATTATAATCTGATTAAAAATAGATTAACATGATCTATAAACAGAAAGCTCCACAAAGTTCCATTCTATAAAATAATCCCTCTTTTTTAAAGGGGTGGGAGAGACAATTTTGCGTTACATCACCCAATGTAAATCTAAACATTAGGGGCCAGCACTATGGCATAGCAGAAAGTCCGGGCTCTGGAATCCCACATGTGCGCTGGTTCCAGTTCTGGCTGCTCCGCTGGGGAACCACTGCCCTGCTCATGGGCTGGGAGGGCAGCAGAGGATGGCTAACGTCCTTGGGCCCTAGCACCCACGGGAAAGACCCAGAGGAGGCTGTGGGCGTCATATCTGCTCAGCTCTGATTGTTGAGGTCATCTAGAGAGTGAACCAATGATCTCTCTAACTCTGCCCTTCAAATAAAAATAAATCTGTTTAAAAACTCCTGATATTAAAATAATATGCCATATATTTATTTTGTATAGCTATGTGTAAATATTAGACCTATATTATCCTTTCTCGATTTACCTAAAACAAAGCTAAATACCCATTCATTATTTTTAATTGCCTACTGCAACTTTGACAACTGCTTTGATGCAATCGATGTGAAATGAGAGATGCCAAGTACCCAGATAAATCAAGCTAAGAGCACAACTTAAAAAACAACTAAAGGGACAGAACGGGCACTTCAGGCACCTTTGCGACTAAGCTTATTTAGATGAACAGCTATCTTCCTCTTTATTCCAATACCTTAAGTATAACAATTCACGTTTACCCACTTACATTCTCAGATTTTTATGTATGACTTCTCTACAACAGATACTTTAAAAAGTAAAGTAAGCAAGCAAACAAGCTAAACACACAGAGGCAACAAAAGAAAAAGTCAGGCCATACATCAATCACAAGTTGATTTTCCTTTGAATGGGATGCCTCTGGTGTACTACGCCTAAGGGTTGAATCATCCCAACTCAAGCTGTGTGTTTGGTATGGCAAACCCTGAAAATCCCAGACCACGAAGTCTGTAATAAGATTGCGAGAGTATTTTGTTTGCCTAAAATCCAGCTAGCTATACTTCAGTCTGTGCTGGAAACTATCCCATTTTCTCTAGACACTTGGAGTCACTCACCCCAGGTGGTGTCACACAGACCAGAATCATTCTAGCACAGAAAGAGGCTAAGAGACCAAGCACTGTTTTCTTGCTGTAAATTCTGAAACACTGCACCTGTTTTTCTCCAAAGCACAGAGCAATGTTTAACACAGGCATTTAATATCCTCAGCGACAGAAAGGCATTCAATTCCTACCACCTAAACACAGCTGAAGCAAGTTAACCTTATCAATCTATAAAATTAAAATTTATCCGGATTGGAACCATCCTTAGGGCTATTGCCCAAGAAATGATGTCTTTTAATCTATGATCCTGCTGCTAATAGAGATTTTATAGTTTAGGAATGTGAGAGATTGGTAAAATTTTGAAAAGGTTTCAGTAAGAAAGTAATTCTTTTGTAAATGTCATTGTAATGTATTATGTGAAAATAATAACAATGCAATAAAACACTCCACTCAACTTTCTAAAACTGAGATTAGAACATGAAATTCAACTAAAGTCACAGAAGAATCAGATGTTCAGAGGGAAACGGAAGAAAGCAAGAACTCTGAAGATGTATTTTTCCAATAGTGATTTGTGGGGTTCCTACCGGGTTTAGTTCTGATGATTAAAAGCTAAGTAAGCTCCTCTGAGGGGCTCAGTCTGTGATGGAGGTGGGTACCAACGACCACAATCCCACAGGAGAAGCAGATCCAAGATGGTACACAGCAACTGGATTCCTACTTCCCAATGCCGCGGTGCTAGGCACATGGGGACCAGGCCTTGAAGGAAAAGCGTTACATTCTTTTAAAGAGACAGAGATCCCAGCAACCAAAGAGCAGAGCAGACGTTTAAAAAGTTGTTGAAAAAGGTGAAGAACATTTAGGCTATGAACCTGGAGTTCAAGAGAGACAGGTAACAGAAGGTAGGTCTGGTTCAGATTTTGAAGGCTTTTTAAAAAATTTATTTATTTTTATTTGAATGACAGATTTACAGAGAGAAGGACAAAGAGAGAGAGATCCTCCAAGCGCTCACTGGTTCACTCCACAAGTGAATATAATGGCCAGAGCCTGGCTGATCCAAAGCCAGGATTCAGGAGCCGCCTCCCACACGGGTGCAGGGACCCGAAAACCTGTCACCTTGCTTTACCAGGCTCTCAAGAGGGAGCTGGAGAGGAAGTGAAGCAGCCAGGACTGGAACAGGCACCCATATGGGACGCTGGCACCTGCAGATGGGGCATTAACCCCCCACAGCACCAGCCCCCAGATTTTGTTGGGCCACAGCACCAGCCCCCAGATTTTGAAGTTTTACACATACAACTCTTACATTACCTTCCGACTAGCAAAAAGCCAACAAAACAAAAGAAAAAACTAACAGCTGGCACCACAGAGGCTCAGTGTGTGCTTCTTCATTGTCTAATCCACGCCCCACTCCCTAGTCAAAGCTGTCCCCGCGTGTCCAAGCTCACGGTCAGGGAGAAAGGCAGACTAACTTAACACGCAGCAGACAGCCTGGATCCACACTCCAGATCAGGAGCTGACTAGCGCCACATCCTCCGGTGATTTCCTTAACCTCTCACGCCTCATCTTCAAAATGTAAATAATACTGTAATTCCCAGAATCTAAGACCACTGATTATAAGACATATCATTATTTTATGTCATAATAAGAAAAAATGTCACCAATTAAACTTTGACATGCAATCAAAGTTTGAAGACTCCTCCTGATTACAGAAATGTTAGAAATGGGAAGGGGGGAATGAAATATGGTAATCGTATCTCCCTCAGAAAGCGTTGGAAAGGCAAATGAATTCAAACAGTTGCCCTTAGTACAACAGTGCCTGGCACACAATAAGTGTCTCCCAGTGTTAGCATTCAGGCTGTTTCTCTGGTGTGCAATTCGTTTCTCAACTTCCTGAAACGTGTAAGGGAAGAGGTGTGGAACGTGCACTCAGTGCAGCATTCATTCCAACCGGCCTGAAGCACACGGCCACACATCTGAGGTCCTAACATCCAGCCTGATCCCCTCATCTGATACAATCCCAAAGACGGTGCAGTCGCTCCAGCGCGTGGGGAATCTTGTGTGTGAAGGGCATTGTAGCCGGCTCGGTTTGACAAAGCCAAAGCATGGGGGTGGCAGAAATGTCAGCTGTGTGTTTTTCTCCAGCAGTCTCTGGCTCAAGTACTTGACATTCAGCCTGGGCAGGCACACATGCCAGGTGCACCGCCTCATACTCCACTCAAGCACCTACGAAGCCAAGGAGTCGCTTCTGGAGGAGGCTTCACAAACAACCCCAGATTGCTACACTGACTCACAAAATCCCAGCTGACATTCTGTTCTCCCTGCTGATGCAGCTCTTGATAAGATGAAATACATATTGTAAATATAAAAATCAGTATTCTGTGCTTACCAAAAGCAAGAAACAAAATTAAAAAAAAAAAAAACTGAAATGGGGGAGGAACTATATGTTTGCCTTTAGCACAAGATCACTCCCTGTAATTTTATGTCTACTGCATAAATAAAATCGAGTTAGTGTTCCCTCATGCCAAATTAGCACACCATGATTAGGAACAGTTAAAAAGAGGTATTTCCTCAAAACATCCCCCCAAAACAATGCCATCAATGCTACTTTTATTTAGCATATGAAAGAAAAGTGCAAGGTGCTAGCAGCTACCTGAGGAAGCCAAGGCCTGCCAGGTCACAGGGCTGTCCTGTGCCACCAGGACAGGGCCCAAACGTGGCAGAAAAATGGTTCATCTTTTCATGTCAATTTAGCCTTATTAAGAGCTTCCCATCCAGTATGGTACCAAAACAGGCTGTTTTTAATCCTCAAGAGTTGGGGAAAACAAAGAAGCAAGGTTCTCCAAAGCACCCCACACCCCGAAAGACCCCTGAGCTGACAACAGGTGGCATTTCCAGTAACCTGAGTTGGCTGAGGAGTTCACCAAAGTGGGTGTGAAGCTCCAGGGGCACAGCACGTTACGGTGCAGCTGTCCACTGCCCTATCTTGACTAGCCAATCTCACAGGCACCAAGCGTGGTCCAGATAATGTCTTCAATAGTACACACAGTCCCAAATAAAAGATACTATCTTTATTAACTACCCACCCCTCCTGGTAAGCCACTTCCTTACTGGCATTTTCAGAGAACATTTCTCACAATCAATCAACGAGGACAACTATCCCTTGATTCCTGAAAGAGACTTTGTTCTGAATTAAGGAGGTCACACTGCTTTCTCCCCATCCCATCAATTTCGACACCCAGGGCATGAAGCCCTGCTCTCAAGCTGCTTACAAGTGCATTACACTTGCCCACTTGTATTGTCAGCCCAGAGCCCGTCCCAGTGCCTCGACTCTGTAAAGAAAAAAAAAGTGTGCCACCAGAACCCTTGGAACGTCTCCGAATCGCAAAGGCGAGGGGCACGTCCTCCACTTGGCCACGGGTGTCTGAGCCAGCTGTCGCCCTTTTGGCAGAGGAGGACTGGACGGCTCTTGCCGCTGTCCAACAGCTCGGACCTGCTCTGACTGAGCAAGAGGCCGCACTAAACAAAGCCGGACCTCTACGAGAAACAGTCTGCGACCCCACGCCGGGCCGGGCGGAGGGGCCCCTTTGGCAGGGTGACCTGGCCACACGTGCCCAGGGCTGCCCCCTCCCGCGCGGGGGGCCCCGGGCCTGGCGCCTCTCCCGGAGCCCTGCTCACGCAGCAGCAGCAGCAGCAGCAGCAGCTCCCCGCGAGCCAGGCCCCGGCGCGGGCCGCTCGCCCCGGGGTGGGCACGGCCGGACGGCCTGGGGCCGCCGGGGGACACGGGGGCAGCACCTCCCCCGAGGGCCGGCGGGCGGGCGGGCTGGAGGCCGCGCGCGCGTGGGCGGTGTTGGGCGCGGGGGGCGGCCTCCCGCAGCCGCGTCGCCGCCTCCCCCCCCGGCCGGCCTCGGGCAGGGGGAGGGCCCGCTCACCTCGGTAGCGGCGGGAGGCGAGATGGCCCGCCGCGAGCAGCAGCACGGCCACCAGCGCCAGCACCTTGGCGCTCCTCACGCTGAAGTAGTGGTTGATCTCCCGCTTGCCCAGGTTGTAGGCCAGAGCCGCCATCTTGGTTCCTCCATGACAACAGTGCGCGGCGAAGCGAGGAAGGGGCGCCGCACAGGGGCAGCACTGGGGTGGCTGCCGCCACGGCCAGCCCCCGCTGCCGCCACCCGCGCCACCCGCCGGGGAGCCCGACCCCGCCGCCGCGGCGTCCCCGGCCTCCGCCTGCCCCTCGTCGGCCGCGGCCGCCTCAGCGGCCTCCCCCCAGCCCCGCCGCCGCTGCTCCGCCGTGCCGGTTCCCCAGGCGCCCTGGACGCCTGTCTCCTCCCCTTCCTCCTCCTCCTCCTCTTTAGCCTCCTGACTTAATAGCGGCTGCGCCTGCGAGAGGGGTCCGGATGCCCAGGGCTTCGGGGTCACTGGCCCCCGCGGCCCCTCAGGGGTCACCGGGTCACAGGCGGCGGGCGGCGGTGGCAGAGACATGGAGACGCGGGGAGAAGGGCCCAGGGTTTCCAGGCTGGCAGGATGCGGGCCCTGGCTGGGGCAGTCTTCTGGAATTCTGGTCGCTACCTGAGCCAGGTTGGGGCAATTGAGTTACAGTTCCGGGAGAAAAGTACACTTCGCCAGGCTCCCTTCTTCCCTATCACGCCCTAATGCCCTAAACCCGCCCAGCTAGATGCAAAAGCAACCTCACCAGGTGTAGTCCTGAGGACTGCCAGCGCGGCTGACCTGAGCCACAGGCCTGTCTGGCGGCCCAGGGTGTTCACGGGCCTCGTGCAGAGTTTGCAGGCAACCTTTGCCCACAACCCAGCCCTTCATTCTCTGCCTTGCCCCGCTGCTCTGGGAACTTTTGCTGTTAAATGACCCATTTGCCTGGTAGGGAAAGGTACAGCGAGAGCCTCATTTGGGTGTGGGTGTCGCTTAGGATAGCCCGGTTCTCATTTGTGTTTGCACACAGATTGCCTAGGTGATGCACCCATCTCTACCCGAAGTTTGTCCATTTTTTTCTCCCCTTTTCTTCCTTTTGATGTCTTCCAGATGGGAATGGTTAGTTGCATTGATGGCCATTCTCGTTGCCTTGCTGACAGGGAGGCGTCGGTTGGGTGCCGGTATCATCAGCGGACATTCTTTACAAACTTTCCCCTTCAGCCATTGCTGAAGTTAGGCTTATGGGCCGTCCCACCTTAAAATTATGAAACATTAGCTATGAAGGGGTCTGCGAGATCGTGTCTAGTCTTTCCCATTCTTTCATCCAAAGGAGCCTTATTATATTCTTTCAGGCATGGACCTCGTATCTTGCAAGATTTTGTCACTTAAATGAAATCACATACATCACTGTCATGGATGTAATGCTAATAAGCAATAAGGTTAAAAAAAAAAGTGTACAAACACTTAGGCCCTGTTCCCTGCCAGTGCTCACATAATTTTGGCTGTCACTCTTCTGATCTGAGGTGGATCACATGCTGGAAGAATTAAATCAGATATTGTAAAAACCAGATAAATAACTCTGCTAACAATATATGGCCCGCCAATCACATCTTCAATATTTCTATGATGTCAGCAGTAGCAAATTAGAATTTCTGGTCAGCATTCAATAACTGCTGTTGGCCCACAGGGTTGATTCAATGCCTGCCAAAAGTAAAGAAACTTGACATTTTATTTAATTGCCATTTCCAGAAGGCTCCCTCAAACAGTGTAAATAGCTTGTGAACCTCTTTTTTTTTTTTCTTTTCCCTCTGTTTTAGTGGTAACCCCTCAACCTCTGCTGTAGATCTCTTCAGGTCCCCTTTCTTGGGAGGTCTTGGTCCCTCTGACTTTCCCCTCTGCCTCCAGCAAGCCCTGTCTGAGTCTTCTTTAAACTATGGCTCTTTCCTGGCAAGGTGCCTTTCACCAACGCGGTTCTCTTATTCATGAGAACATCCATGGACTGACTGGCTGGTTTCTGTGTTTTTCCTTCCCTCTTTTCTTTTTTTTGGCAAACCTCTACAGGGATTATAGCCATGACTTCTGATCTTGCTGGATTCCTATTTCCTCCTCTGCCAACCCTGTTATTCCAAGGTTTTTATGGCATCGCCTCCTGTTAATTTCAAGGAATGCTATAGGTTCTTTATCTCTGACACTGCCATTGTTTCTTATTCAATATCCACTTATATCTCTATTCATCAAGCTTTTCTTACTCTGGCCCTCCTTTAAGTCATGGTACAGAACAGAACTCTGTTCTCAGCCCACTTGCCATATTCCTGGGTGATCTTAGAATCTCTTAACCACTGCTTTGTGCCTCTGTCCCCCCCTTGTGATTGGTTGTCTTCAGCGCGCACACACACACCCCCCCCTCTGATGGTATCCATCCATATGCATCTCTTCATCCATGCTAAAGAACCATGTGCCTCCTGGGTCTCTTTGGGAATATCCCTCAGATACATACCATCTTCCATTTCTGAAACAAACTCACCACTTCCATTCATTTCTCAGTTTTTGAATTGCACATCCCATTTTTCACCACAAAAGCAATTATCCAGCTATTTTGTTGAGTCATGCTTGCTCTCCTCTGAGTAACTTTGAAGAAGTTATCACCCCTTTTGAGTTCTTTTTTGCTGCCTTCTTCAAAGCAAGCTTCTTCCCTTCAACTCCCTTGCTTCAGGTCAGGCCTTGAAGCCCAAACCCGTTTTCCTTTGGTCATTCTGTTATCCTACCTCCCAATCTGAGAAAGAGGACAGAGAAGAAAACCATCTGATAGGAACTGTTTCGGCTAAACTCAAAAGCCTGGTGGACTTTCATCTCTGTCTTTCTGACTGGAAGGAAAATTCCTTTCCCAAAGCTGTTGGTTTCAGCTCTGTGATTGTATCGGTATCATCCCGATACGTTGCGTCAGAAACGGATCACAGGAATTTTGCTTCCGTGTTTTGCAAGAAAAGGAATTTCTTGGGTAGAACAAAGTGCTAAGACTTAATTCATAGCTACAATAAAATATTTAAAATATTTAAAATAAAGGTGCAAACCTTTAGCCTGTAACTCCCAGTGCCCGTGTCATCTGATGGAGTACTTGGGTCCAATTCTTAGCCCTGTCTGTTGACCCTGGCATTCCTGCCACTGCAGACTCCAGCAGAAGGCCCAGTCATCGGGTCCCTGCCGCCCAAGCGGAGCGCCTGCCTTGAGCTCCTGGCTCCCAGCTTTGCTGTAGCCCAGCCCCCGCCATTGAGCAGTGATGAGTCCATTGGTTTACTGTCCATCTTTGTCTTTCAAAGTAGTTAATGTAAGGATTCCCCTTTGATACCCCAACTTAATCTCTATGTAGAATCAGGTTCAATTCTAGAGGAATCCCCAGGGGAGACGGGACCCCACTTCTGGAAAGTTTGATGTTGATGACTGTATTTCTTCACTTTCAGCAAGTTGCAGCTCAGCCCGTCGATGGATTAGCAGACTGTGCTATCTACCTAACCTCCCCAGATGAAAACTTACTAAAAACATCTGTCAGGGAACCGTGAACTGAAGATGATTCTGCTCATAACACTGGCATGCAAGAAGGACAAATGTCAGGTATTTACCATCTCTTTGGATTAAAAAAAAAAGTGTGAGCTTATATTTGTGTGTAAATTTATCATAATATGATATGTATATGATAACCACTTGAATCTGTAAGAAATTAGCAAAAGGTCAAATTATCTGCCAGAAATCAAAAAAGAAAGATAAAATTATCATATATATAGTGACTAATGATGGCTTAATTCTGCAAAAACACCAGCAAAAAAAAAAAAAAAAAAAGAAAAGAAATGGTGAAAACTGAAGTGAGAGGGCCCAGCGAGATAGCCTAGTGGCTGAATCTTTGCCTTGCATGCACTGAGATCCCATATGGACACCAATTCGTGTCCAGGCTGATCCATTTACTATCTAGTTCCCTGCTTCTGGCTTGGGAAGGCGGAAGAGAATGAGCCAAAGCCTTTGGACTCTGCACCTGCATGGGAGACATGGCTCCTGGCTTCAGACTGGCTCAGCTCCAGCCATTGTCACTTGGGGAGTGAATCAGTGGACAGAAGATCTTCCTCTCTATCTCTCCTTCTCTTTGTAACATCTGACTTTGCAATAAAAAATAAAAGAAATCTTAAAAAAAAAAAAAACCTGAAATAAGGATTTACTCATTGTTAAGTGCGGCTTTTGCTGGAAAGGTGCAGTGCTTTGAGTTGAGAGTCACTGCAGACCTGAACCATCAAAATTAGCGAAGCATTTGTGAATCAAGCATGTAAGCCATGACTTAAGTCATTCTTCGAGAGCAAATAATTTGGGAGCGTGTGTGAATGTGTCAAATTACGTGTATTATGTTAGTAAATTAGTGGAATGATTTATATGATCTTGTAATCTATCTTTGTATAACTTGTAGCTGAATGTGTGTAAGTTGGAGGGGAGCTTGTTCCAGTTCTTAGCTGATCTGAGTGCAGCGTTTGAAGACCGACTCTCTTGCTGATGACTCGTGCCTGGCTCTGCCCGGCCTCTTTCCCTTCCTCCTTGGCGTGATGTGGTTTAGGTGCTAGCCTGGCCATCGCAGCAAGCTTCTAGTGGCCTTGCTGCTTCCCATTTCTCATGTGCTCAATTCCTATCTTCCAGTTGCTGCCAGAACTATCCCTTTAAGACTTATGTTTGATCTTATTTACCTGGCTTAAAATTTTGGTAGTTCTTTACTGGGGGAAAACTGATCCTCCAAAATCTCAGAATGTCTGATTTGTCCAAATCTCTTTTTTTTTCTCTCTTGCTTAATCCATACACACTGAACTGCTAGGTTTTTGTTTTTGTTTTGTTTTGAGCCATTTCTTAAACTTGAAATATTGTCTGAATCTCGCCCCCCTGACACACACACACACACACACGTACACACACACACGTACACACATCTATTTTGCTTACTTAAACTCTCCTTTAAAGACCTGCTGCTTTTGCTCACAGCTCCCTGTAGAAAATCTTTTTTCTCTTGGTATTTCTCATAGTACTATCTGTTTCTGAGTCTACACCCAGCACAGGTGCCACTCAATCTGAAGTTACCCTGTCCCCTGCTTGTGTCTGGTGTATGTAGTGGAAAGTCGTCGTGTGCTGCGCCTTATTGCCTATTCAGGTTATTATTTTTATTTCCCTTTATTTCCTCCCCTCTAGTTTTTATGGACTGGGGCACAGGGACTTAGTGCTTTTTGTA